ACTTTCATAACATTATTTTACAAAAGATTTCTATTTCAAATAAAGTTTCCAGGAAAATATTAAGCAGCACAACTGTTTTCAGCACTGATAATAATAAGACATGTTTCTTGTTTCTTCTTTGTGAACGTCTAAGTAGTAGGATAAATAGGCATCCATTTCATCCCTATTCTCTCTTGTAGAAGGCATTGCTTTCCATTTCATGAGTCCACTCGTGATTTGTTGTAAATCATGGCGCTACTTTAAATCAGCTTTTATCAATTCATTCCCTGACTTTCTTTCTGTGCAGGTGCCGAGTGCATAATGAACCTTCCTAAGCCAAGAGAACACTGGTGGCCTGTGTTTGTGATTTGTGTGTTCCTCTTCTCTTTCTTGATTCCTGTGGTGATCATAAGCATCTGTTATGGGTTGATGGTACGATGCCTGCGCAGTGTCCGTCTCCTGTCCAGCTCAAGAGAGAAAGACTGGAATCTGATGAGAATCACCTATATGGTACTGTCTGTTGTCGCTGCTTTTGTGTTGTGCTGGATGCCGGTGCATGTCTTAGTTTTGATTCAGGCCTTGGGGCATGTGGATCTTGGGGCCAGCCAGTCCTCGATGGCAGCCATGCATTTCTGCATTGCTCTGGGCTATGCTAACAGCTGCTTTTTTTTTCTAGAAGAGCAGTGCAAGAGGTCACTGAGGCAGGAGAGAGAATGTGCTGAGGAGGAAGAAAAAGAGGTGGTTATTGATGAAGGTGCCATTCCGGTGGGTGCAGATTAGAGCTTTTCTAAGTGACTGTATTCTTGGATGGCAACCTCTGAACTCATGAAGAAACTTACAATTGAGTAAAGTTGTATAAACATTGTGGCTTTTGTCTGGTTTAAAGTTTTCTTTATTTATCTTTAGCTGGCAGATGATTTCTGATGATTCAGAATTAGAAGTATGGTTATACAAGACTATTGTTTCACATGGGACAATAGAGCTTTTTTTCCCCCTCTTTGAATCTTATAGTGTATATAAGATTTTTACATTGTAAACATTATACAGTATATACTATTTACATTGTTTATTGAATTCCTTATATAATTCAATGACTAATTAATATTATATTATGTTATATATTATATTAATCATATTCTAATAATATATAATATTATGTTAATAATATATTCTAAATTATTATATTAATTCAACTGTATTTTGTAAATGTACTGCTTTTGTTATGAAACTGGTATGTTGGAATTGCACATGCAAAATATTTATTGATTTATTTTTTAACTGCTGTACAAAAATGTTTATATAAAATGTGTGTATATATAGTATATATATATATGTGTGTGTGCATGTATGTATATATATATATTTTTTTTTTTTAAATATTTTTTTTATATATATATATTATTTCTGTCCCCCTCACTTCTGAAATGATGGCTACGCCCCTGTCATGTTAGGTGTAGTTTATATGGGGGGCAACCGTCAGAATATGGGATTTCCGTCCCCCGTCCCTCGTCCCCCGTCCCCCTTCCGGGATTTCTGCCTGCTGCCCAGAATATGAACGCAACGCACCAAATTGCATATTAAGCGTTTTCCCCCATAGAAAACCGTTATGAAAAAGCTTAACATGGTTAAATGCAAGACAGTTATAATTAGGGATGCACCGATACCGATACTGGTATCGGTATCGGGCCCGATACTGGCCTAAAAAAAAAAATTTAATACTTTTATTCAGCAAGGATGCAATAAACTGATCAAAAGTGGCCGTAACGATTTTTACATTGTTACTATGATAATAATAATAAATGCTGTTCTTTTGAACTTTCTATTCATCAGAGTATGAATCACATTTTCCAAAAAAATAAAAAATATTAAGCAGCACAAATGCATTTTACATTGAAAATAATAAGAAATGTTCTAAAAGAAATACAGCTTTGCCATCACAGCAATAAATGGCATTTTAAAATATTAAAATAGAAAATGGTTATTTTAATTTGTAATAATATTTCCCAATATTAATGTTTTTACTGAATTTTTGATCAAATAAATGCAGGCTTGGTGAGCATAAGACACTTCTTTCAAAAAACAAATATAATTCTTACTGATACCAAACTTTTGAATGGTAGTATATACAGACACTTAAAAGAATGCAGTATTTGAAGATATTGATATTTAATGACTGAGATATCACAGTACTGATAATGAAGTACTTATGTGCCTGTATCTATTAATGAGCTTGAAAGCATTTTCAACTGAATTGTTTGACTGTGACTCGGAATGAATCAGAATGACAGGTTACGCTAATGAAGATAAGACTCTTCCCCAAAAATCACATCTGTTTGACATCTGTGATATGTTGTACAGACAGGTGGGAAGGGGAGGGGATTTGAAGAAACTGTTGATTTCTGGGTTTCATCAGCTTGTTCTATGATGGGATTGAGAACATGTTTCCTTGATCTTGGTCAGCTTACAAGGAACACACTGGAGTAAAGGATCTTAGAAACATCTGTTTTTGTCTGTGTGCTGTGAAATGCTTGCCAGATGGTGTTCCAATGCTTGATATATGCTCCTTATGCCAAGGTTCATCTCGTCCCACTTCAGCATTTAAACTATATTTTAATTAAACTCTTGACTGAAGGGATGCAAATAATATAAAGAATGCATAAAAAATGTACTTCTTGTTCTTCAATACAGGTTGGTTAGTTGCATACAGAGAGACTGAATAATCCATGTTACATTTTACAACGTAGAAGAATGTATTGTCTTAATATTGTGCCATGGGTTTGATTCCTATAGGGACTGCATGAATGTGTACTGCAATGTAATGTAAGTCTCTTTGGATAAAAGTGTCTGCCAAATGCATAAATGTAAATGTGACATAAAATAATAAATTGGCCTATTTATTAGATATTATTAAATATATATATATATATATGACTGAATAAAAAATGTAATTACTTTTAAATACTTTTTCTCATTTTTTTCTAACCCATCTTTAACCATGTGGTTAAAGGTCACTGAAATGCTTGAGGATATTTAGTTTTTGTAAACAAGGCCACCAAAAGACCTCGAATGAATAAAGATGTGTTCTGTCCATGGCTTACTATGTCTCAGCCTGTCGAGATCTGACAATCAAAATCATCTTACTATACACCCCAGGCCGTGTTTTCAGTACCTAAGCATTGTACTGTACTTGTAGAAGGGTCTATGTTGATCAACCAGCATTAAAAAATGATGACCATCATTGGGAATTCACCCTACCATGAATCATCAATATGTACGTTTTATCTTGGGCCATTCCTAAGCAACCTGCTGTACTGAATGATTTTGTAAAAGCTTTTGATTTGGATGTATAGGTTATGTTTTTTATTATATACTACAACTATAAATTGCTTTGTTTTTTCATCAACTTCAAACTGCACAAAAAAGCTTGATATACCAACATCTCAAACTTCTCATGATATCGCTGGTTAAATAGCTGTCTGGTAAAGTAAACCAGCCCATCTAATTTTTAAGACCTGGCAGTACCAGAAATTAACTGGTTTGTAGCATTTATCTCTGTTTGCAGTGAAGTGACCACTAATGTGATTTTCATTTTACCTGTCAATCACGTCCTTGCCAAACTGCTGTTAGAGCCCTGCTTCATCTCGTGTGCGTATTATTATCAGTAGGTGGCAGCACTAGCACAGAAACGCTTTTGCAGCTGTAGTGTCGGTCTATCACTGAAGCGGCGGGTGGCTCTCTAGGCGCACTCAGCTAATAAGAGAGGAGTGCTGTAAAACTGAAATAATGAAATAAAATCTTTTTGGTTACCAGCCATTCTAGGAAGCCCAAAGATCAGCAATAACATTGATTTTTCATTGGTTTCTTTGCTTCCTTTTAACTTGATAAGACAAAATTAAAGAAAAGGGAAAAAATGTGTATCATCTTCTGAAAAGCTGTGTACTGCTAAAAATATAAAACTCTTTGTTGCAATAAAATGTATTTCACTTGAACGGATTTTATTTTTTAGTTTGGAATAATATATATTATGTGGTATATAAACATTCCTTTATTAAATAATTATGCGTATTATATATTTACATAAAATTGAATCGTTAACTTAATATAAACACAAAAAGAGAAAGACAAAATTCACAGTAAGAGCTTTGAAATCTGATTAGTGTTATTTTATTTTCCTACTAAAATACAGCTTTTGATATCAATATCTAAAGATCAAATATCTACAAAGACTTGGCATTACATTTTTGGTCTTACTGTAATTCGCATTCTTATCAACACCACTTATGTTAATGTGTACGGACTGTGGTGGTGGTGGGAGCTGTTTTAAATGAATGCATTTGCACTACAAGGGGAGATTATGACTTCATTTAGCTACTATACCCATGAGGCGCTGCTGTTTACAAGGCAATGAGACTGCACTTTTAACTGCTAGCAGCTTTGTATCTTATGTACATTTAGCAAAATACAAAAAAAAAAACTAAATACTATATATTATATCCTTATAGGATGTATATCCTCTCTCTCTCTCTCTCTCTCTCTCTCTCTCTCTCTCTATATATATATATATATATATATATAATTCACGGATGCATTAAGAAAAGCAGTAAAACATGGTTGTCTGTCTCTATCATAATTGGGATTAATATACCTTACACTGTTTCCATAAACTGATCCAGCTTGAGAGAACGAGATACAGGCGCTAAAATGAATCTGAATCAGGACTGCAGAGGCACCTTTCCTCTCAGGCCATGAGGCTGGATATCCTTCACCTATCACTGTATTATTAATTCTATATCACATTATTGGCTTTTGAATAAAAACTCCACGCATTCCTGCACGCGACACTGTCAGCGACTGCCGTGATAAATTGCATTCAGGTGGAAAATCAAGAGCTAGATGTTAAAGCAGGAATAACGAGAAGTGTTTTTGTCCCAGCCCTCTTTTTTTCCCTCCCACACAGACACACGACCCCCCTCCCTCCATCCTGTCTCTCTTTTCCATCTACTCTCTTTTCTACAACAAACATGGCCGCGAAATCAGACGGTAAAGCCGTTTCTTTGCAGAATGACATTCCGCCGACGTGCCTCCCCGGGCCGGAGAAGCGCTCGCCCCAGTGGCGTCCCGTCGAGAAAGAGTATTCGCTCCTGGACTGCTGCTGGACCCTCTGCGCCCTCTTGGTCTTTTTCTCGGACGGGGCTTCAGACCTGTGGCTGGCTGCCGACTACTATCTCAGGCGGGACTACTGGTGGTTCGCTCTGACACTCGTTTTTATCATCATTCCGTCTGTTGTGGTGCAGGTGCTTAGCTTCCGATGGTTCGCGTACGATTACTCGGACGCCAACGGGAGCGGCACGGCTGTGGCTGCCATGGTAGCGGCGTCCAATGCGGAGAGCCACTTCAGCACCAAGGACAGCGATCAGCGGGGCGCTGGCCGCTCCGCTGCGGTCACCAAAACCCGGAGCAGCGCTGAGAGCTGCTGCAGAGCCTGCGTGTGGCTCTTCCAAAGCGTCGTGCACGTTTTTCAGCTGGCACAGGTCTGGAGGTATGTGAGTGCTTTGAACTTAATGTAATGAGATATAAATCTATAGTGCATTCCTTTAAGATGGCACAATAGCAGTTTATTCACATTGTTCTGTCATCCTGTGCGTTTCCTTGGCGAGCAACAAATCCACACCCACGTCTAGGGGTATTCTGGGACATATGATTAAACTACTAAGATGGCAAGGTTTATATTAAGAAAATACCAGGGACAACTTTTTATGCAGTCAATATTTATGCAGTTTCCACAAACTGATTAGATTCAGTAGGCTTTCATATTTGAAAGCATGTATTTGAGGGGGCCAAATATAGGATAGTAATTTAAGAATCAATCACTGGAAAATACATTCAGTGGCCACTTATGTAAGTAGTGGTGTCTATGATGGGAAAAGGACAATAGAAATGATGCAAGATATCACAATACTCAACCTCACTGCTGTTAGTTTGCATCGCCTATGACTGTCCTGCAGTCATAGTGAGGAAACGGGATCCTCCTTGTATTTCCTGTCGTCCCATGCCAGTTCATCATTATCTCCAAGCCATTTGGTTCTAGGCTCCTCCTCCTCTTCCTCCTCCACCTCTCATGAGCTGCTGGGTCAATAATCTCCTGGAGAGACTCCTCCACTCATTCAATCTGTCCACTAGAAATCTCCTTATGCACACTCTGAAATCCCTTTGTCTTTAGAGCAGTGCAAAATATTTTTTTCCCCATATTACTTACTAATGCCATTGGTTTAATTTCAAACATAGCTATAATGAATTACAATTAATTTTTTTGTTTTTTCTCTAATTCATTTATTTTTCTGCTTAAAGAAATAGTTCACCCATGAATGAAAATATGCTTAAAATGTCCTCTGCAGTAAATGGGTGCCGTCAGAATGAGAGTCCAAAGAGCTGATAAAAACATCACAATTATCTACAAGTAAACCATGTGACTCCAGTCCATTAATTAATGTATTGTGAAGTGAAAAGCTACATGTTTGCAATAAACAAATCCATCATTAAGATGTTTTTAACTTCAGACCTGTGCTTTTGGCTAAAATATGAGTCATCTATCCATAATATTGCTTTCTCTAGTGAAAAAGTTGTCTCCTCTGAATCAGGATAGAAATATGCACAGATCAAGCACCGTTTATAAGTGACAACCGATCTAAACAAATATGTCGGTGGATTTTGATGTGAGACAACAACAGGGAATGGTTTTTCACTGGAGGAGGCGCTATTATGGATTATAGACTGTCTAGAAATGATTTGTTTATAGTTATAACGCATTAATGATGGCAGCTTTTCACTTCACAAGACGTTAATTGATGGACTTGAGTCATCTACATTTTGTATGGCCTGAGGGTGAGTAGCAAATTTTCATTTTTGAGTGAACTACTCTTTTAATGGGGCTTGCACTGTTTGTATACACCAGATTTTACCTAAAAGATTTCATAAAGTCATAAAGATGATGGTTTTCTATGGGATAGAGTCCTTTCTAAACTGAGCTCAAGAAACAGTGACATTGGATTTGGCTTCCTCACACTCTTTTTGCTCAGTGTGGTTGCCATGAGCAGAACGTGCAAGTGTCTATCAAGTGCTAAGCGTCTTGACTGCTGACAGACAGCGCACTGCAACTCACAATGCAATTTCCATAATAATGTTGAGAAAAAATTTGCAGCCCACAATCACGGCCAGAAGTTTAATCCACTCACATATAAATCAATAGGAACACACCCACACATATTAGAGGCACGTGTAGGGAGTGAGCGCCGTGTAATTGTGGTTGTAAACACAGAGGCGGCGATGTGCTTGTCTTTCACTGCCTGCGCTGATCAGCAGTGACAGGCTGAACTTCTATGTACTGGACACTGCTGCTGGCTGACCTGCAGGGTAACACAGGGTTAATGATGTTTGCTGCCATTGATATCACAAAGCTGCCGGTCATTTCAAACATCATGCTGCTGTCACAACACGTGTGCTGTCCTTCTCATGCCGTCTGTGTCATTCTCTATCTGTCACTCATGCTTTTCATCAGCCCTCTGCTCCGGACCTTTTTATTAGAAGATAAATATTATAAATATTATTTATAATTATTATTGTTATTATTATTATTAAGAAGTACATTCTACTCTGCAACAGTAATATATTCCTGTCATAATTTCTCCAAGTTATACTAAACTTTTATTGGCAGGTTATAATGAAGAACTTTGAGTTTCTGTGTGTTTAAATAAAGTGTATTATTATTATTTTTAGGAGTAATAGTAGTAGTAGTAGTAGTAGTATTGTTTTAAGAAGTACATTCTGTTGTGCAATAGTAATATATTTCTGTTATAATTCTTCAAGTTAAACCAAACTTTTATTTTGACAGGTTGTCATGATGACATTTGAGTTTCTGTGTGTATATGATATGATCAATGTTGGGAAGGTTACTTTGGAAATGTAATAGGTTACAGATTACAAGTTACCCTATTTAAAATGTAATAAGTTGTTTAATTACTCAATTACTTTATTAAAGTAATGTAACTGATTACATTTTATTACTTTTTGATTACTTTTCTAAATTTCTAACAAATGTTTTCAACTGTTAATAATTTTCAAACATTTAAACCAGGCAGGGTTAAACTTATACTAGGACTCAACACTGATTACTGTCAGACTTGTAAAAATCCTTCATCACTTGAATTAAGATTATAATAATTTAATTTTAAAGCATATAGCCACCACAAAATCAGACTTTACCACCTCTTTTTACTTTGAGATCGTTCTCAGGTTAAATACAGATTTAAAATCATAACAAGAAATAGTTTAATAGCTATGATACTATTTTTGAAATCAAATCTTTGCATATGACAGGAACAGAAACAGTTAATCTTAAGAAATAAAGCATATACATAAACCCAAATAGGTAATAAAACAGTTATCGAATAAGCATGTGTCCTATTCTGTGTCCTAAACTCCTGAAACATTGGTGCCTTATATTTTACAGCAGTCAATGCAATTTGGGAAAGAAATCAATTAGATCTGTGTGTGTGTGTGTGTGTGTGTGTGTGTGTGTGTTTGTGTGTGTGTGTGTGTAAATATTCAGATGTAACCCCCTTTGTCAAATGAAATTGTGAAAAGCTGGTGAAGTGACACTCAGAGCAGCTCAGGAGACGAAGTTCATGTGTTCATGTCCTCATATAATGAGACGGCAGACACTTTTCAGGAAAGAGAATGAGGATATCTGCAATTCAAAACAAACCAGCCAGCCAGCAAATAAGGCACAATTGGGAAATAATTTTCATCTAATTTGAATAAATCAAACCATTATCTCTTTTTATTGACAAATTAGCCTTGAGACTTTTAGCCTAAGCCCTTCTGAGCTACGTTCCCATGAATATATAATTAACAGAAAATATTTCCAGTGCCACTAACGAAAACATCATTGGCACTGCAGGCCGATGTCTAATGATATATCCTCTGCTCTCTCTTTATCTCTTTCTATCAGTATAGCTAAGAATAGCAACTTTTAGAAAGCACATTTAGCCATTTTCATGTTACCTCTGGTTGACCTGCAATGGATTTCTGTTCTTCACCTCTCAGTAGTAGCCTACTTTCTGACTAAGTCTTTGCTTAAAAGCTTCCGAGCAGAGCTTCCCAGGCTCTCTGTCTTTGTTTGATTGGAATTAGCAGTAATGCCATTAAAGCTGCACCGGCACTGTACTTGTCACATTTCTGCATTACAAGGATTATAGTTGTAGTGTTTACATGTCCTTACCTGCAGCAGTCAGCCAGAGATTGAGAGAGCGCTGAGCTGCTGCAAGGAAGAACAGGTGAGGAATGATAGGTGGAGAGTAGATGTGAAAATAAATGGTCATTTTTAGGGTTGAGATGCATGCTTGAGAGAATGGTTGAGAGGGAGAATATGTGAAAACTGGGCTGTTTGATATGAAAATTAGTTATTATAAAGCAATTTACCCTCATGGCTTGTAATTACATCAGAAATAAAATGATACAACTAATTGATGTGCAATAAAAAAAAAAACTCTTTCTCACATTTTCGTTTAACCAAAGACTTTACTAAGCATTTTGAGTGTGCCCTATTCGAGAGTCCCCTCTGAGTACTCTGACCTGGTTCACTGCACACATTCAAAGACGGTTTTCAATTCCATGCTCCCTGCAGCATCACATGAGCAGGATCAATCAGGATCATTCACCACCCTCGAAGAAGAAAAGACACCTTTACACAGGCTGCGTTGATAAAAATGACTACATGCACTGCAAAAAGTGTTTGTAGAATGTAAAAATAGGAGACAACAGTTTTCATTCGTTTACATATTCATTTAGTCTCATTTAATTATTTTAATAAACGTTAAAAATGTTGATTAACATTTATTATCATAAAACATAACATTTATGAACTCTAAAAAGATTTGCTTTGTATCAGCATAATCTTTGGAATATTTTAAATAAAAATATTCCATCACTGAAACCAATGATAATCTTGATGCTCTGACTGATTCAGCAGGTTCATTAAGTGAAGAGCTGTAGATTGTGAGTCTTTCTGAATGGTTCATTTAGAACGATAAATCATTTGTTTGTGAACTACACTGGTTTCGCTGTTGGTTTTTGATTCACTAAAAATATTGATTCATAAGAGCCATTTGTTTGTGAATCAGATTACACTGGTTGTGCTCTATGTTTTTGACTTACTCAAAAGATTCGGCACATAAAAGTCATTATATGAATTGGATTACACTTATCGCACTGTATGACATTGCACACAGCTCAAGGATAATTCCATAGATAGATATGTTTTCGGTTACACTTTATTTCGATAGTCCACTTTAGACATTCTATTAACTATAAGTAACTTTGTAACTACATGTCAACTACATGTCAACTAATTCTCATTAATTTGCAACTACATGTCTACTAACTCTCAGAGTAGACTGTTAGGGTAGGTTTAGGGTTAGTAGAATGTTGACAAAGAAAGTGTTAGAAGATATTAAGCAGACAGTCTACTAATACTCTACTAACTGCTAGTTGACATGTAGTTGCAAAGTTACTTACTGTTAATATAATGTCTAAAGTGGACTATCAAAATAAAGTGTTACCATGTTTTCTTGCCATGACTGCAAGCTCAGCCTATTATTTATGCAATTTGATATTGATATTGACATTCACAGAATGAATGGTTAAAAAATGTAAAAAAAAAAATAAAAAAAAATGCTTTAATGATGGATTTGTTTCTTACAACCACGTTAATCAATGGACTAGAACTGTGTTGATTACTTGTGGATTATATGTTTTTATCAGCTGTTTGCACTCTCAATCTGATGGCATCCATTCACTGCAGAGGATCCATTGGGGAGCAAGTGATGTAATGCTAAATTTCTCCAAATCTGTTCTGATGATGAAACAAATTAATCTACATCTTGGATGACCTGAGAGCAAGTAAATTCTCAGCAAATTTTCAGTTTTGGGTGAACTATTCCTTTAATACTTTACTGTTAATTTACTCCATTACTAACATCCTGTTCGGCAGGAAGATTGAACTTGTTCATTATATTGAATGGGTCACTTCGTCAATGGAAGTTTTTTTTTTTTTCAGATGTTGTGCCCTATTGAACATACCAAAAGTGTGTTTAATATCCATGTTCTTTAATACATAAGACTCAGACCTAAAGTGTGAGTGAGCAAGAGTGAAGGGGAAAACATCAGTTTTAAAAAAAGTCTCATTTGTGACAATGAGATGATTTGCAAACACTGCGTGATTAATTCTCCCCTGTGGATGCCAAAGTAAAACTCTACCGAGGAGGACTGAGGAGAGGACTCATTCTAGAGGAGAGATAGGGGATGTCTGTTGCTGCTGGCCAAACATCTTAATTCCTATTTGAGACACATTCCTGGGAAAGGGCTCACTGGGATTAACTGTGACAAGAAAAGGAACCTAATAAAACTTGAGCTGTGGTTACTGTGTGTTTGATAAATGGGGGGAAGCTGTAGGCAATGTGTGTTTTAGTGTGATATAGGTTTGTGCTTGTTTGAAGGTATGTCTGATATGAAGGGTTGAGCACTTATGGGATGAATTAAATACATTTAAAAGACAGAAATCTGAATGTTTATGCATAAGGTGTTTTTTTCTGTGCTTATCGCAAATTCAAGAAATACCATTTTAAAATGTTTTTAAATGTCTTAACATTCCTAAATTCGATCTATTATGCATAAGAGGCGAAATATCAAGCTCTAATTAATTCATCACATTTATTCCTATATGTCTGAACTGCCTTATGTACTCAACATATTTTTTTGACTGAACTAGACAATAGTCTGGAAATAAAAGAACCCTCAATCCTTGGTCAGCAAAAGTCTGTCACATGTTGTGCATATTCTAAATATTCTAACTGCACGATTATGTGTTTATTGAATACATTAAATAAATTAGTTACTGAATGTTTGTAAAACAATGTAAAGATAGATACAGTTTATTCCATAAATTGATTTTATTGATGCAGGAAAATGTTCTTTCGCTTTCTTCCTGGCTGGTAGATGGTAGTCCTACATTGATTTATACTCTATATTGTGAAATAGCCTTTAAAATTTTGTTAAAGAACCTAGAGGGGCAAAGACAGAATGATTACAACAAAATTCTCTGATCACACTCGTGAGAAGGATAGCAAGGAACAAAAGAAATGTACTGTATATGGCGACAGGAAATAGAAAGCACTTCCAATTTCCTAATTCTGTTACATGATGGCATGATCCAGTGTCTCATAACTACCTCAGCAGGGCTTTACTGTTCAATAAAATAAATGACAGCCTGATTCCAGCCAACTGTAAATCTGATCGAGATCATTCAACATTTATTTCAATTCTTTCTTTCTCTTTCTCTTTCTCTTTCTCTTTCTCTTTCTCTTTCTCTTTCTTTCTGCTGTCATTCTCAAGGGTGTGATCAGTGTTATAATTTAGCAGAGAGGGGGAATTGTAATGGTATTTAACTGAATTACAGGAACTCTGCCAGTTAATAGCTGAGTGCTGATTGGTTAGCTGTGCCATCTGAGTAACCAAATGGGTCAACTGGCCATTCTGTATGTTGTTGAATTCAAACGTAGTTTAATGGCAGGTGAACAGCAACATAATCAGTGTGGGGATCCTGTTCTGAGCTGCCTTTATATTAGAAAGTCCTTTTCAGAGGAAGCCTGAGTCTTTGCAAAGCGCAGGCCTAGCAGATGATTGTCTCCAATTATATTAAGCGAAGTAATGGGCCAAGCTTGTCAGCTGCAATGTCTGTCAGTCGTCACCATGGAGACTGATGCATTGCCTGCCAATCGTGGCTGTTTGAGAGATGTTTTCTCAGCCGTAGCACTGCCTGTTTGTTAACATTTTCTTATTTTTCTTGAAGAAAAAGGAGTTGCATGGTCAAGGTTCTGTTTGATTTTGTCTGAAATCATCCATGTGAATTTTACAAGCAAAGACGGCTTTTCTGTCTCATTGAAAGCACACTCTTTATTCAGAGAAAGAAAGACTCTGTGTCGCTTGTCAAATTTGAGGCTGACTCGCTGACAGCCTCTCTCGTAGGCTCTCTATTGCTTGATTTTTCTTTCAGAGGCTGTTTTTTTCTCGCACAGCAAGTTGTGAGAAGGATGTGGAGCAATTTTATAGACCTCATCAAGTCAGGGTGATTCATTCTGCCAATCTCCTGACATCCAGCGAGCACTTCTATTACTCTCGCTACCCTTGAGACAAACTGAAATATCATGGCACTTCCTGTCAAAAGAAACAAATTAAGTCCAGTGAAAGTCAGATTTTTCAAGGGGCTCACATAAATATCTTTAACTATGTAATTTCCCGTTTCCATACACTACCAGTAAAACGTTTGGAATAATTATGATTTTTTTTTTATGATTTAGAAGGAAGACTCTAATGCTCACCAAGGCAGCATTTATTTGACCACAAATACAGTGATATTGTGAAATATTATTAAAATTTAAAATAACTGCTTTCTATTTGTTTCTATATGTTTTCAAATGTAATTTGTTCCTGTGATGGCAAAACTGAATTTTCAGCAGCCAATACTCCAGTCTTCAGTGTCACATGACCCTTCAGAAATCACTTCCAAAAAACAGCATTTATTTGAAAAATAGAAATCTTTTTGTAACATTATAAAGGTATTTTGATCAGTTTAATGTCTTTGTATTGATATCTTTCTTTCTTTCTTTCTTTCTTTCTATTTTCTTAAATCTTATACAAAACTAGCAGTGCACTGTAGTGTAGTGATGGTAGTGTATCATGGTTTCCACAAAAATATTAAGCAACAAAACATCAATTTCAACATGGATGATAATAATAAGAAATGTTTCTTGAGCAGCAAATCAGCATATTAGAATGATTATTGAAGGATCATGTGATACCGAAGACTAGAGTAATGATGCTGAAAATTCAGCTTTGCCATTACAGGAATAATTTAAAGTTTTTATTATTCAAATAGTAAACAGTGATTTTAAATTGTAATAAGATTTCACAATATTACAGTTTTTATTGTATTTTTCATCAAATAAATGCAGCCTTGGTAAGCTCTCTCAAAAACGTTTTTGACTTTTGACCAGTAGTGTAATTAACATTTTTCTGATGCAAGTTTTGGTGATTTGTACAGAAATTATCTGGAGGTCTTAAACTGTGATTTTTACCCCAGGTATGTCCATGTCTTATATCTGGGTGTGCAAAGCCGCTGGCGTGGGGACCACGAGTACAAACACTTCTACTGGCGTACGATGTTCGAGAACGCTGACATCAGCATGCTGAGGTTGCTTGAGACCTTCCTGAAGAGCGCACCTCAGCTCGTTCTGCAACTCAGCATTATGGCCCAGACCAGCCAGGTCCTCCCTTTGCAGGGTAAGCTGATGACACCTATGATTAAAACCAGCTCACTAAGTATGCTAGAAATAGTTGGGCCTGTGTATTTGTCTGCGTCATATTTATTATATTCATATTTAGTTCCTCTTCAAAAGTCTTGTTAGCAGTACTTTTTCAGAATTATTGATAAGAAAACCTGTGCCTTTACTCCTAGAATTTGCACAATGCCAGCCAATCAGATCTGATGAACTGATGATTTCAACCCATTTTTGAGTGCACTATACATCAGACGGTCAGAAAATGTGCTGTGGGTGGACTGTGGGCGTACTGTCTTGAGACTGAGAGGCTACTACATCAGTCACCCAATCTGTCATATTGCTATCCACCATGAGTACAGCGTTTGATTCAATGCCTTTCTTGCAGTGTGATTTCTGTATTGCATCTAATTTAAATGTGACACAATAAGAATTGTTTTAGAAATTAATTTGGCCATCATTAAAGATCAAAGTGCAATTTCACAGCATGCGTTTGCTCAGCATCTCATTTTCAATCCAAGAGCAAATTAGCTGGTAAATTACTGAGGATGTGATAAGTTTGACTGAATATGAAAGGCAACGGGTTGCATACATACATATTTCAGGTCATTATGCATGAGACTGACCATTTTATCAGATGAAAATTTAAGTAGCAGTTAAGACACCATTTTTTCATTTTCCCCTGGAAGAGCTCACTCCAAATTTGCAATGAATAATCATAAAGAGATTTATAATTGGAACATGAAAATTACAGTAATCAAAGGATCACTTAGAATAATACCTCATTAGATGTTCATGTCAGTGTCAGTGTCTTCATAATGGTGACATGTTAAAATCGTCTTTAATTGTGTAGTTTAAATTCCGCCAGTCTATCTTTGGGTCTATAAGGAGGGAACAGGACGTGTGATAGTTACAAACCCACCTGATGGGTGCTTTTGATTACAGAGCTGCGAGAACTCTCTGTTGCATTAGTTCAGCTCCATGGGAACAATTGTAGCCCCTGTTAGATGTTCCCTGAGGAATTTCATCCAAATGTCAAACTGTGACTTTTATAGAGTGCCCAGAGCTAGTTAACTAAAGGATGTGAATTTTGTTTAAAAATTTAATTAATGTGACGTCCTTCTTTCTTTCCATGCCATTCGGACTAGAGTTGAGAGAGCTGCAGTATTTACACTGTGGGAGCCCTAATCACGTTACATTTATTCAGACTGCTGAAGGCCTCTTTTTCCAGAAAGATAAAAATGAACCTGAGGAGAGCCAAAATGTGATTCCACAACAAAGCATGTCCAGTTCTCAAATTGTCAAACTCTCTGAACGTCATGCCCTAAGAAGGCTTCATTATATTTATATTTTTTATTTTATAGACCATACGGTGTTAACCAATAGCCAAGTAGCTACTTAGATGTCCTCCCTAATACACTGAAACACCATCTAACTATCCAAAAATATAATTCGTACTTATTCTGGCAGTGTAATTAAAATTAATTAATGCACAATGTAAAGTGACCCATTTTCTCTCTGTCACTCTTTCTCAATGTGCTTCATTTGATCCAGGTCTGTCTGCTTCAGCCTCACTAGTGTCTCTGGGCTGGATGATGGCGTCTTATCAGAAGGCATTACGGGACTCTCGTGACGACAAGCTCCCCATGTCATATAAAGCAGTGGTGGTGCAGATGCTGTGGCACCTGTTCACAGTGGGAGCCCGCGCCATGGCCTTCGCCCTCTTTGTTTCCATTTTCCAGCTCTACTTCAGCATTTTCATCGTGGCCCACTGGTGCGCCATGACCTTCTGGATCATCCAAGGTGAGACGGACTTCTGCATGTCCAAGTGGGAGGAGATCATCTACAACATGATGGTGGGCATCGTGTACATATTCTGCTGGTTCAGCGTCCGTGAGGGCCCCACGCGGTGCCGTCTGCTGCTTTACAGCCTCATAATCCTGGGCGAAAATGTGGCCCTCACTGCTGTGTGGTATATATACCACAGCCCACGCACTTCAGACTTTTACGCTGTGGTGGTGGTGTGCGTGGTGGCCTGTAGCTATGCCCTGGGCACATTTTTTATGTTTGTCTACTACTGCCTGTTGCACCCTGATGGCCCTGTGTCTGGGGCCTATATTGGATGTTGCGACGTCCAAGTGGGTGCTGTTTCAGATCCTTGTGTCTCGTCGCCCACCTCCGCTCCTCCTCCCCTGGATGTGGTGAGCAGCCCGCCGCGGACTCTGCAGAGGACTAAAGGAGGAGAGTCAGTACCAGGAGGAGATGTTGGAGAAGTGTTTAAGATGCGGACCCTTAAGGCATCGCGAACCGCTGCGCCTCGCCTCACCCCAAGGACAGAGGGGCCGGTAATTCGCATCGACCTTCCCAGGAAGCAGTACCCAGCCTGGGACGCCCACTTCATTGATCGCAGGCTGCGAAAGACCATTTTGGTACTGGAAGCCGCAGCTCCGGTCACACCAAGGATCCAGTACCGCTGTCTAGGCACACCGAAGGAAGTGATGGAATACGAGACGACAGTCTGAGACGTTTTACCTTCTCCAAATAAAAGATGTAATGTGTTAGTGAGCAGAAAAGTCAGTTCTGTCCAGCTTTATTTGGTGAAGAAGAAGAGTTTGTCAGATCTCCACACGACCCCTTAATGACTCTTGTCATCTGTGGAAGCACATGAGACACTAGTGTCTAGAAAAGAGCCACCCTGTGGTGACATTAGACATTACTACAGGTTATTGGGTTAGGAGGTTAGGCAGGGGTCTGACCAAATTAATGAAAGAAAGCAGTGAGGCCACGGTAAATCTATAATGAGCAAAACAACATATCAGTGTGGTACATTAACAGCAATGGTGTTTAAACACTGCTTCAAACCATTCTAGGTGTTTTTAAATCTTTCGTGGCAGCTGCCGTATTCAACAAATACTGAATCCATTTGGTCATAATTCAGTGGGTATTGAGGTTGTAGTCGGTACAAGTAAAATGTGTGAGTTGTCTCATTAAAGGCCTTAAAGGGGTCATATGATGCTGCTAAAAAGAACATTATTTTGTGTATTTGGTGTAATGAAATGTGTTTATGCGGTTTAAAGTAAAAAAAAACACATTATTTTCCACATACTGTACATTATTGTTTCTCCTCTATGCCCCGCCTTTCTGAAACGCGTCGATTTTTACAAAGCTCATCGGTCTGAAAAAGCGAGGTGTGCTGTGATTGGCCAGCTATCCAATGCGTTGTGATTGGCCGAATTCCTCAAGCGTGAGACGGAAATGTTAAGCCCCTCACATACTGTTGATGCCGTGTCCCAGCCGGAGCGAGAGACATAAACATTAAAACCCTTTACAAACGAGGCATTTGTTGCATCCAGTGGGGACATAATTACTGATTATAATGACTTATACTGTCTTTCGCGTTGCATTGCATCGCGCCGCGTAAACATAAAACCATGGCTGCATTTGTGATCGGAGAAATGACTTTAGTGTTTGCAACTTTACATATCTTCTTTATGCACCAAGAGCTTGTAACACTCCAAAGAGAAAGGAAAAATTGAAATCGCATCATATGACCCCTTTAAGACTTTCTTACATTTGGCTATTCAGCATCTGAAAGGTGCATTTCACCCCGTTTAAAACATTAACGAATAAATAAAAACGGTTTGTGTGCTAGATAATTGAAGGGTTGAGCTTCTGGTAACATAGGCATTTTATTAAGCACAGGATACTGTATGTTGCCTTCAATAACAGGGATCAGACTTTGCAAGAAACACTCTTTATGTTTAAAAAAAAAAACAGTTTACAGTTATCAAGGTCTCTTTTCAGGACATTTCCACTCACCTTTCAAGTGAAAAATTGCATATCACTGAAAAATGTGGGATTTCTTTTTTAAATGTTCTCAAAGGACATTTGTGTCATAATGGAAATAATGGGTCTGATGCTGAAAAAGGGCTGAGTGCACCTTTAAAGAGGATTGAATGAATGTTCATCTCAAGAACAAAGAACCCTGATCAATCCGGTTTATTATATGCCTGTAATAGGAACGTATGGTTATATCGCAGTATTTCAAACATGTCTAAGCTAACAAAGATTATGAGTTCACATTTTAAAGTACTTGTATGACAGCTGAAGGGAAAGAAAAAATCATATGGCATATGTTCACATGTTTCAAAATAGTCCTCTTTTTAGGATTCATGAAAAGTTATCAGCATTATGAGTATTCCATTTTAACTCATTTACATAATTTGGTGCAATAATACTCATAAATGTTTGGATAGTGAAAATTTAATGGATATGAAGAAATCCATACAATATCTTCAGTATCTTTATCTATTACTTTTACATTTTATTTAAAATTTAAATTAAGATAATGATACATTTGGTCATCAATACCAGCTACATATCATCTAATATCATCTACCAACTGATGAGAATGTATATTTTTACTCTGATCAAAACAATAACTATCTTTTTCTATCTATCTATCTATCTATCTATCTATCTTTCTTTCTTTCTTTCTTCACCCTGTTGTGTACAAATGACTAAGAACATAGTATTTTGCATTGACTGACTATTGGGCTGTTGAATAGAGAGGAGATGAATAATCTTGGGTTTGTGCTGTGTTTACTGATATCATGTTATTGCTAAATCCATTAACCCATTGTAACTCTTTCACATTTCACTTCTTGGCATAACCATTATGTATGTCCATTTGTGTTACCATGTTGGTGCTAGCTGGAACACCTCAGCACAGCCATGTATGCTGTACTTTATCAAAGTGGATCATACTCGTTCACTCTGGTTAATTTTGCCATAGACACGCTAAAAGACGTTAAGCCTTACACTGCACCTGCAAGACTGTTGCTGTCGACTGTAAAAAGGATGTCGATCTTCAGCCATGTGTTTAATTTGGACAATAAAGAAAGCAAAATTGTGTGTTTACTGACCTGACCAAAGCATCAACTGAAAGAGTGTCTTTTGTTTTGCTTGTCATCTTAAGTTAAATGAAAACTGAGATATAGTAGCATTATACCGCAGTTGTTGTTGTTGTTTTTCATTTGAACACTAAGTACAGCCACTACAAGTCTCAGCCAATGATTTTTATTTGATGTATACTGCACTCACGTGGAAACCAGCTGAATAGCAATGAGGAAGGTAAAAACATTCATATTAGATTAACTATTCCTTTTCAATTGTTTTGTTAGACCCACTGTCAATTTCAGAGGGTATGCATTTGTCTGGATTAGCTGTTAAAAATAAAATAAAACAAAATACTCCAGAAAAGATTATGAGCACACCAGTTTAGACTAAGGTTAATTCCCCACAAACAGTGGACCAGTCGATTATGAAATATTAGCTCAAGCCTTATTACATCACATAATGTGGAACTGCAAGTGTATTGCAACATAGCAATAGTAATCTCAGCCATTCATTACCTCAACAATCTTAAACAAATGCATTTTATGGATTTGGATATGTATTTAAACAACATAAAGGTAATTCTTTAGGAAATAATTCTGAGGAATATTATTGCAAGGCTATTAAGAAATTATGATTATGCTCCTGCTGCCAACATTTTATATGAAGAATCCAGAAATTACCTTCCCCCCTCCTTTTCTTTATCCTATTTCATTATGAGCTTTTGCAGACGTCACACTGGATATTTACGTAACAGAAGGAAGCGTATAGATACAATACTTTAACTCCTGTAATGAGCTGTGCTGAAACTTAGAGCTTAGCAAAGGCTTATGCTAACCAGCATTGAATTTTACAGCATCATGTGGAGCATATAAAGAGATTGTGTCATTACCATACAGAGCAGTGTCTTGTCAAACATTACAGTGTGAATACAACTAGAAATTGCATAAATGAAAACTCATGATTGATTGCGCTGACCAAGACTAGCTATACCACATTCAAGAAAATGTTGTTTTTGTTGCTTGTGAAGATTTGTTGCTATTTGTGCTATTGTGTACATTTGTTCAGGCAAACATGTTCCCTAACAAATTAGATAGGATGAATACAGAGGGGTGCTTTCTGATAGTTAAGGGTGAAATTAATGCTGATTTAATAAATAAATGTATCATTTTATAGGCTATTATATAATTGATATAGGCCTAATGGTAACACTTTACAATAAGGTTAATTAGTTAACATTAGTTAACTACTTTAGTTAACATGAACAATACTTCTACAGCATTTATTAATCTTAGTTAATGTTTATTTCAACATTTACTAATGCATTATCAAAATCAAAAGTTGTGCTTGTTAACATTAGTTAATGCACTGTGAATTAACATGAACTAACAATAAACGCCTGTATTTTCATTAACTAACATGAACAAAGATTAATAAATACTGTAATAAATGTATTGTTCATTGTTTGTTCATGTTAGTTAACACATTAACTAACATTAACTAATGGAACCTTATTGTAAAGTGTTACCAATATAATATACAAACATGTAAAATTATTAAACTCAAGTATCATTCTCATTATTTATCAAAGACAGCAAATGTCTGTCTGTTATCCTATGTACTCCTGTACGTTTGAAGCAAAATTATTGTACAAATTTATGAACCAAGACCTCTCGTCCAATCCGCTGAGACAAAGACTCATTTATATGCACGTGTCATGGATTTGAACCAATAGGGTGTCAGGGGGCGTGACCATTCCCTCAGCCGGTCTAATAGGTCTGTCTGCTTTTAGCTTACTCACAGTAGAATGGCGGCCGCTGCTTGCGGTCCTCGCGACTGTCCTAGGACTAATTCAGCCAAACCACACAAAGAACACCTGCGAAAAAGTCGGGATTCCCGTCGCAGACAAGCAGCACTGTTGTTTCTCACCAATATATCTTTGGACGGACGACCGGTTTATGACCTAAGCAATGGAATCGTTGGCCCCAGGGAAGCCGAGAGCCTGTGTGTGGATGTCGGCGCGGCGGCGGTGACGGGTCCCCCTCTGGCGACACCTATCAGCTACGGAACCTTCACCCAAGTGTCATCCATCAGCGGGGGAGCAGCGACCCCTCTACCGAGGACTAACACTTACCCTGGTCCTCTGAGCCCTCCTCCAGCATTTATTCAAGGGAGCTGCGACGTTTTCACGGAGGATGGACGAACAGATTCTTTGTCAGTCCAGGCACCCCCGCTTTCACCGACCTCTGGACCGCTGAATCCGTTTTCAGGATCCAGTAAATCACCCAGCCAATTCCCGGGCTCTAATCCTGTTCCTGATCCGCGCCAAAGGTGAGTTTTGTTTTGTCATGCAGGTTGGCAAACAATGACACTCGTTATTCTCTGGCTGGCATTGTATGCACAAATTACACCATTCATAACAAATATGGAGTAAATGTGTGATGCAACCTTCATTTGTACAGGTGGCATCTGTCATTAACAGTTGTGAATTTATATTTGTTTATGAAAGCTATGTTTATTCCCAAATCGTTTCACGGTTTTGTTTTTATGATATGTGGATAGAATGTTTATCTGGCCTGTTGTTTACCAGTGTTTACCTTCGATTATGACTTTTGAAGCAGTATTATAAACAGTACATATTACAATACGAGAAACAAAACAAAACAATAACAAATCTGTAAGAGGAATTACTGACTTCCGCCTTATTGTCTACAACTTTCATTTTCATCTTTGAAGAGAGGTATAGTTTTCTAGACATGAGTTTGACTGGAAATATTTCTGCGACATTTTTTTGAGACCTGTTAAGATGAATAGGTCGGGGTGGGACTCATAAAGACTTCTGTTTTCGAATAAATAACGGTTGCATTTTCTTTTGCAGTACTTTAAATGAAAAATGTTTGGAAAAATAAATCCAAAACCATAATGTGTATCTGTTCATTCGAGAATCAGACATTTCGTGTAATTAGATCTCAGATATTTACTGTGATTCTCGATAGGAACCGACTCATAAGAGTCATTCGTTCAGAAATCGGACTACTCTGGTCGCGCCATATGTTTTGTGATTCACTAAAAGAATCGAATTATAGGAGTCATTCATTGATTCATGAATCTGGCTATTTTGGGCGAAATTAAGGGACGTAATGAAATTAAAAACCAAAGAAGTTGTGAAAAAGCGTGTACTGTCTGATTGAACAAAGTTATTAATTAATCATTAAGAGTAACAGAAATGTTTGACAGTTATATGCAGGGTAATGAGTGAGCTCTCCATCCTATTTGCCTTTGCATTTGCCTTTAAAAGTCATTTGTAACTGTGACAACAGAGACAGTGATTAGGGAAACCCATAGAACAGATGGAAGGTTTATGATGATAAGATATCACTGCTGTCAGAGTAGATAATAAGGGGGCTGCTGAGTCAGTCAAAGAAGTATAGCCAAGGCCATCATCAACCAGTCATAACAAGCTTTATCTGCATGTAAACCGAGCCTCATGATCTCACTACAGTACATGTGCACATCATTTCCTGTTTGCCTTTTTTTGTTTCTTGCCTTTCATCTCTCTCCTGTTCTGTTCCCCCTCACCCTCTCATCTTTTTATGTAAGGTCTGCTGATGCACTGATGCTGGACAGGCGACCTTTAAGCCTTTATTTATAGTCAAAGGCTGAAAGATTATGCTTTTGCTTCAATTTAATCCATCACAGTTTTTCTCGAAGTGTATACAAATTGAAGTCACATGTATTTAGCTCTAAATTTTATTACATTCTTTCTTGTTGCAGGACACGTAACCTCTCTGGGTCTCCAGGGCCAAAGGTTTCCAAGAAGGTGCATTTCATCAAGAGTATGAGACAGTATGACACTCGAGGGAGCAGGTGAGATGGCAGGTGTGATATCGTTCGGGAAATATTTTCCCTGTGAGGAGGAGCTGTATTTGTTTTGTTATCTTTTTGAATAAATAATCTGTATATGCAAAATCAGTTTAGACCAGGGGTCTTCAAGCTTTTTCAAGCTAAGGAGCCTTAGAGCACAAATAAAACGGAGTTGCTTTTTGAGCCTGGCCAATAATAAGTTACCATAGTAACGTATTTGCAATTTTGCGTACTTTGATTCTTGCATTACAAAGCCAATTTAACTGTTACATAATCATTATTGATTCAAAATAATACACTACATATTAATTTGAATACCTTTTAATGAAGGAGGACAATGAAACATTTAATTTGAACTTCTTTTAACTTATAATTTTTTTAAATTAACTTATTAACTTTAGTTTTAAGTTAACTTAAATTTGTTGAATACCTTTTATTTTAATTTTATTTTATTTTTAGAAATTATTTCAAACAATAATTGTTCCTCTGTTGAAGACCCCTAATTTAGGCTGATCCTTTATTAGCACTTTCTATCAATTTTAGTTTTTTTTGTTTGTTTGTTTGTTTGTTTTTTAAATTAACAATCTTGTTTAATGCATTTTTATTTTATTTTTAATTTTCAGAAATTATTTTTAAATATAATTGGTCCTCTGTTAGGCTAGTCCTTTATTAGCACTTTCTTATAAATAACTTTTGTAGGATGGAGGCGCTCCGATAGTCCCATACTGGGCTCATGTCAGGTAAGGTGAATATAAAAAATAGATGCTGGTGAAGTGGATGCTGGACTGTTTCCTCAGGCAATAAAGTTCTTTGTTATATAACTGCTATTTTATTTTTAGAAATTATTTCAAACAATAATTGTTCCTCTGTTGAAGACCCCTAATTTAGGCTGATCCTTTATTAGCACTTTCTATCAATTTTAGTTTTTTTTGTTTGTTTGTTTGTTTGTTTTTTAAATTAACAATCTTGTTTAATGCATTTTTATTTTATTTTTAATTTTCAGAAATTATTTTTAAATATAATTGGTCCTCTGTTAGGCTAGTCCTTTATTAGCACTTTCTTATAAATAACTTTTGTAGGATGGAGGCGCTCCGATAGTCCCATACTGGGCTCATGTCAGGTAAGGTGAATATAAAAAATAGATGCTGGTGAAGTGGATGCTGGACTGTTTCCTCAGGCAATAAAGTTCTTTGTTATATAACTGCAGTGTGCTCTCATGCTAAGTGAAACAGTGCAGCTTCAGACGGACTCTGTGATTCCTTAGTTAACTTAATAACTGGCATAAGTACTCACTGAGATAATGCGGGATAGATATGTCTGCCTATACGAGGAACAACTGGGCTGAATTAAATTAATCTTGAATGGAACCTTATATAGAAATGGCATTTTCTGAAAGTAGAACTGCACCTTGGCAAGAACCATTAAAATGTAATGAAATTCAGTTACGTAAGATAAAAGCTTTCAAAAGTGTTTCCTCCCTGATTCCTTTTCTTTCTCCCTCCAACTTACTTTCCTCTTCTGGTAAAACGTGCCGTAAACCCAGTTGGCTCTTTTGACTTTTTTTTTTTTGCATTATAACATATGATTTATATACAACCTTATTTGTTGATGAATTTTATACAGATTTTTTTCAGAAGATAAAAAGACCAAGTGTTATTTTGATATGATCTTGTATTTTATGCAGAATTATACACCCCTCTTTTTTTTTTTTTTACCCAACATGCATTACATCATCAACCATGAAATCATGCCTTCACTTACATTCACCCCCAGCCTGTGCTGACCTGATAATTGTGATGTTGTTCAGCCCCCTGGGAAATGTGACGGGGTTTGTTGAAATTAGATTTGGTCCTGTTGACCAATCTGCTACGACATAGAAAGCTACATGCTGCTTTAATTTAATCATGAAGAATGGATTGACTTTTTTTTGGCTCATTTTGTCACCAATGTCATTCCAGGGCTATAAGATCTCCCATTTGCTTTGTGCTGCAACTTGTGACCCATATGCACTTGTTGTGGTGTAAACATGGCTGGTGTACTGATGTTGATGTTCTGTGTGCACTTGACATCTGTGTCCTGCAGGGTTGTGCTGATCTGTGCCAAGAGATCCCTGTGTGCTGCTTTCTCTGTATTGCCCTATGGAGAGAGTTATCACATCAGGTACAAAGCCACCACAGTCAGCCAAACAACTCATTTCATATCATGCAAACCCATACATGAGGGACGGACAAATCATCTGTTCTTTTCTTTCTACTTTTTTTTTTTGAAATATGATGTTCCAAATTAAATTAGCCTATTAATTTGTAATGGAAGAAAATATCTTGAGGGATTTTCACAAAGCCGGATGGTCAGTGTGAAAATTGCACTGATGTTTTCAAATAAATTATTTTCATGTACACTACTGTTAAAAAATGTGGGGTCAGTAAGATATTATTTAAAGAAATTAACACTTTTATTCAGCAAGGGTGCATTCAATTGATCAAAAGTGACCATAAAGACATTTATAAAAGTTTTCTGTTTCAAATTCTTGTTGTTCTTTTGAACTTTATATTCACCAAAGAATCATGAAAACAAAAACATCGCCAGATTTCTGCAAAAATATTTACAACTGTTTTCAACATAATAAAAAAAAATTTTTTTGAGAACCAAATCAGCATATTAGAATGATTTCTAAAGGGTCATGTGACACTGAAGACTGGAGAAATGGCTGCTAAAAATTCAGCTTTGCCATCACAGGAATAAATTGCATTTCAAAATATATTAAAACAGAAAACAGTTCTTTGTAGGGATATTTCTCAATATTACTGCTTTTACTGTATTTTTGATTAAATAAATACAGCCTTGGTGAGTAAAAGAGACTTCATTCAACATTAAATTCTTACCGACCCCAAACTTTTAAATTTGTCATATTTTATGATCTTCAGTTTACCTCACATGGTTTCATATCATGTGGGATCAAATTTTCCTTGATCTTTTAAAAAGGGATTTTGATGTAGTATGCAAATATGCTGTAATTCGCAAAACTCAAAACATCCTCCCCAGTCCAAAAAGAGCATTTTATTAAAGCTTTATTAAATTTTCTGAATTGGATACATAGGATAAATGTAACCCAACTGAAAATCAGCTGCATGAGTCTTAGAGGAGCAAAGCACTTTTTCACATTTGAAAAAAGGTGTTTCCTAATGGCACAGCAGAAAAAAAGAATAATTAAAAGGGACTGTAAAATTTACATTTTTACATTTGAAAAACCTCAACGTTTTAAGTGGACATCTGGGAAAATAATTAAATAATATAAATATATTATATGGCTCCATTAATGTAAGATTTAGATGTACATACATACAGTAAATAACATGCATAATGTGTCATCCAGCTTTGTGCAGAACTCCAAGTGAGTGATTAGATTTTGGTTTTGGCAGTCCAGAGATCACAGTGATTTGTCCACCTGTCATACACCCAATCACATAATTCACAGAAATATGATTTATTTAATTTTTTTATTTAGTCAGTGTGCTTTATCACTTCTTAAAGATGTGCTGCTGTATCATTTTAAGCTTTAATATAATGACGTACTGTATTTACAAATAGACCAGCTTATAAACCGTGAACTGCAGCCTGGTGCTAGTATATTAACAGACTCTGTTGGTGTCTTTTGCACCAGACAAACAGCAATAAGACAGAGGATTCTTTATCTCAATATTTGAATAAAAGAGATTATTTCAGTACAGGGAAGTGTTATTCAATTCTGATTATTAATAATTTATCTACCCTCTGCAGTGACTCTAAACTAGAAGCCCAGAGACAGAGACACTCTTCTGGTGGGGGAGTTGATATGGTCCCTGGACTGGAGGGAGTGGAGGTGGACTTTGGAAAGGTATTCCTCTAAGAAGATTGAGCAAAGACGTGATTATGTGCCTTAGAAACCTTCTTGTTTGTTTATTTGGTGTAGTATTGCTGTCTGTTTTAAAGCATCATTGTGCAAGGTGCAGTACCGGGTCACTGGGTGTGTGTTTTACGCAATGCATATGTTTGTGTTTATACTGATAGCCCTGGAATGTTTTGCATTGCAGACAGTATCATATGCCCGTTTTCTGCTTCCAACTAATGCCTTGGTCAGGCAGAAGAGCAGCGGCCCACCTGACATCTGTACAGCTCCGATGCCAGTGTCTCGCAACCGTATTAACGGGCAGAAGAACTTCACACCTTCTCGAATCAACAGCGCAGCTGGACAAGATACTAGTGTGTTACATGGTCAGATAATTATTTAAATATTATTACAATTTAAAACAACTGTTTTCTATTTTAATATATTTTAAAATGTAATTTATTCCTGTGATGGCAAAGCTGAATTTTCAGCAATCATTACTCAGTCTTCAGTGTCACATGATACTTCAGAAATCACTCTAATATGCTGAATTGCTGCCCAAGAAATTTTTTTTATTATCATCAATGTTGAAAACAGTTGTGTTGCTTAAAGGGGTCATATGATGCTGCTAAAAAGAACATTATTTTGTGTATTTGGTGTAATGAAATGTGTTTATGCGGTTTAAAGTTTAAAAAACACATTATTTTCCACATACTGTACATTATTGTTTCTCCTCTATGCCCCGCCTTTTTGAAACGCGTCGATTTTTACAAAACGCGTGGCAGAGTCTTAACTTTGATAAAGAATATCTCTTTGGTTTTGAGACTTTAGTCTTTGCAACTTTACAGATCTTCTTTATGCACCAAGAGCTTGTAACACTCCAAAGAGAAAGGAAAAATTGAAATTGCATCATATGACCCCTTTAATATTTTTGTGGAAACTGCATTTTGTTTCAGAATTATTTGATGAATGGAAAGTTCAAAAGCACAGCATTTATTTAAAATAGACATCATTTGTAACATTATGAATGGCTTAAAGGGGTCATATGATGCGATTTCAAGTTTTCCTTTCTCTTTGGAGTGTTACAAGCTGATTGTGCATAGATAAGATCCCTGAAGTTGCAAAGACTAAAGTCTCAAAACCAAAGAGATATTCTTTATCAAAGTTAAGACTCTGCCACGCCCCCCTAAAACGGCTCATTCTAACACGCCCCCACATATCTACCCCACTATGTGGATCTTTAAAAAAGCATCATATGACCCCTTTAACTCACTTTTGATAAATATAATGCATCCTTGCTGAGCAAACATATTAATTTCTTTAAAAAAAAAAGAAAAAACAGAAAAACAAATGTGTTTAATGTTGTAACTCTTGGTAGGTGTGGACGAGCTATCAGACTATGACCCCAACTTACTCAGTGACCCCCAGTGGCCTTGTGGGAAGCACAAGCGAGTCTTAATTTTCGCATCTTATGTGGTAAGCTCCTTGATTGAACAGTTTGAACCAACACCGTTTCAATAATCTCTTCTAACATGATGCCAATGAAAAGGCTTTGCAAGGACATCTGAGTTGCACTACAGCATGATAGTGATTCATAATCCTTGAACCCAGTTTATGACCTATATCAGATCACATCAGCATGTCATGTGATTACCCTAAGGGTTACCCATAAAGGCATGAAGCATGATATCTTATGTATCACAGCTGACTAGGCTCTAGCTGTAAAAGTTGAATATTCAGTCACCAGTGTTTTAGCAGCCATAAAAAAAACATTTTTTTTACGACACCTATAATATGACTCTCCTTGTCCCCTCCAGACTACAGTTATTGAGTATGTGAAACCGTCTGACTTGAAGAAAGACATGAATGAGACATTCAAGGAGAAGTTTCCTCACATAAAGCTGACACTCAGCAAAATCAGAAGGTAAAGTTTTTATGTAAACTAAAATGGTTAAATACTTCATTTGTTTTGGTTTAGGACCATGTCTGTTAGGAAATTTAATTGTGCATGTTTATTTCTTATATTTCTATGTGTAGACTTACCATCATCTTTAAAAACAAATCTTGCAAATCTCAAAAAGAATATGTATTTTTCATACTGTACTTTATAATGTTGAGATGCCTAAATTTGCTTTAAAGCTATTAATTTTATTTCCAATGTTTTGTTTTGTTTTGTTTTTACACAAAATGATATTGAATTGAATATTAATATTGACCATTTTTCAGTTATCGGCTACAGTTAAAAAATTATCGACTTATTGTATCAGACAGAAATTTACTGAGTGCATATCTAGTTTAATAGAAAACATGTTAACACAGGAAAGAAATGGTGCCCATGAAGCTATTTTTATGGGGTCTTTTAGCACATAGCACTATCACAATCACATTTTAGATTTGGCTGAATGAATTAACATACAACATGGGCATCTTGTTAATTGGTCCTAATTAAGTTCACAAACTACTACTTCTCCTCTATTTAATGTCCACCACAGTTTGAAAAGGGAGATGCGCACGGTGAGCGAAGAGTGTGGCCTACAGCCGGTTACCATAGCAATGGCTTATGTTTACTTTGAGAAGCTGGTTCTGCAAGGGAGGCTGAACAAGCACAACCGAAAGCTGGTGTCTGCTGCTTGCGTTTTATTAGCTGCCAAGATCAGTAGCGACCTCAAGAAACAAGAGGTCAAGCAGCTGATCGATGTAAGTGTCTTACTGCTTTGGATGTTCATTTAATTCAGAGACTTAACTGTTCTTTATAGGTATATGTGACCCTGGACCACAAAACCAGTCTTAAGTCGCTTGGGTATATTTTTAGCAATAGCCAAAAATACATTGTATGGGTCAAAATTATCGATTTTTCTTTTATACCAAATATCATTAGGATATTAAGTAAAGATCATGTTCCATGAAGATATTTTGTAAATTTCCTACCATAAATATATCAAAACGTAATTTTTGATATTTTCTCAGTATTTAGATTTTTTTTTTGCACCCTCAGATTCCAGATTTTCAAAGAGTTGTATCTAGGCCAGATATTGTCCTATCCTAACAAACCATACATCAATGGAAAGCTTATTTATTCAGATGATGTATAAATCTCAATTTCAAAAAATTCTCCCTTATGACTGGTTTTGTGGTCCAGGGTCACATATGCTTCATGTTTTCTTGGTCATATTATTTTTTTAATATGATTTATGTACTGACTTTCCCTCTCTCTTTCACCCAACCCATTTCTTCTCTTTTTTGATCTGCCTGATCCTGAACAGAGGTTGGAGGAGCGTTTCCGAATAAATAGCAAGGAGTTGATTTCCCTGGAGTTCACGGTTCTGGTTGCCTTGGAGATGGCACTCTACCTCCCAGACAGCAAGGTCATGCCTCACTATCGCAGACTTGTGCAGCAGGGCTGAAATGGAGAGGGCCCTTAAAGGATAGTTCACCCAAAAAATTAAAACTCTGTCATAATTTACTCGCCCTGATATTGTTCAAAACCTGAATGTCTGTCTTTCTTTCTTTCTTTTTTTTTTTGCAGAACACAAAAGAAAATATTTTTAATAATGTTGATAACCAAACGTTTTGGTTCCCATTGGTTTCCATTCTTGAAATATATTTTACTTAGGTTTCACTGAACAAAGTAAGTCATACAGGTTTGGAACAACATGAGGTTGAGAAAATGATGACAGAATTTTCATTTTGGGGTGAACTATCCCTTTAAGAGCTGCCTGTAGACCATAGAGATGACGCTCTTGTGTTATGGCAGTTCGGGAAGGTTATTTGTATTATTTATTGATTAAATAGATAAATGGAATTTTCTTAGCACTCCATCTTCACTTGTTTATGTCCTTCATGGAACTGATTTTATCAATCAAACACATTTATGGAGAGGCTTACTTTAAAGGAACACTCCACTATTTTTGAAAATAAGCAAATTTTCCAACTCCTCTAGAGTTAAACAGTTGAGTTTTACCGTTTTCGAATCCATTCAGCCGATCTCCGGGTCTGGCGGTAGCACTTTTAGCTGTAGCTTAGCATAGATCATTGAATCTGATTAGACAAAAATGATTTGCTCAAAAATGACCAAATGTCCAAATGACCTATATGACCAAATGACCTTTATTTTTGACCAAATGACCTATAGCGCCTGAAAATAGTCCCCAGCACGCTCCCTGTGCAAGCAGGTGGTCACGTTGGTTAAGTTAGCCTATTTTCAGGCTCTGCGTAATATCATTGCGCCTGCTGCACCCATCGGCCTAGAAAATCGCAGCTTTTCATTTTCCGTCGGTCTTAGTACACGTTGTAACTACAGAACAGTTTTCAATGGGAAAAATATAGAAACTCTTTGGTCATTTTTGAGCGAGATGCTAACGGTCTAATCAGATTCAATGATCTATGCTAAGCTACAACTAAAAGTGCTACCGCCAGACCCGGAGATCGGCTGAATGGATTCGAAAACGGTAAAACTCAACTGTTTAACTCTAGGGGAGTTGGAAAATGAGCCTATTTCCAAAAATAGTGGAGTGTTCCTTTAAGCACTGATCATTTTTATCCATTTATTTCTTTTTATTTTTTAATACCACAAATGCTTATTAACCACCATAGATCAAAGCTTTTTCTAACGCACAACTTTATTTATGCAATATTTTATTTATGGACATTAATTTTATTAGAATTCATAATTTATGAATACTGAATATATTTTTAATGTCTTTTCACATAGGTGTTTTTTTTTCTTCCCTTTTTGATGAGTTTTCGGGTATGTGTGGCATTCCGATGCGTATCCAGCCAGGCACTCTATGTTAGAGATGACATTTAACGGGCACATTGTGCTTTTATCTCTTTCTCTCTTTTTTTTAAGTCATCTAACATTTACCAGCTTGGCTGTGGTTTAACAGTGATGTAATGTTCTTTTAGACACTCCGCAATTAATTTTAGGTAGTGTTGAATGTAAAGAAGTATTTTGAATATGTGAGTGCCATTTTAAACAGTTAATCAAATGTTTAGAGAAACTAAACTGTTTACCACTTGTCTTTTCTTATAGATGCAAGTGTTTTTGAATGTCTTGACAGAAGTCTTAGGTTATGGTTTTCTCAGTATCAATGCACAGCTGTGACAATTACAGTGATGAAATATTTCATTTTTTTGCATCCTACTGTGTCCTATTTATCTTATGTGCAACATTGATTGAGCACGTTTCAAACAGTACAGTAGGTTTTACAAATAACTCCACATCTGTATATTAAACTGTTGTGTATTTGGTCACAGAGGAAACGCCACCTCCTTTGACCGAGTGAGTCTGTTTTGTGTTGTGCAGTGTTGAATATGACCTAACCTTTCTGAGTCTTCTTGGTTAGTGTTCATACAATATCGTCTTATATTTTATCTCTGATATTCTTCTTTGGAAATGTTTATACACCATAAGAGTGGCCTATGTTTACTTTCAGAACCTGGACAGTATCACAGTGTGCAGCATTACCAGAAATATGCAACATTGTTTTTACATCTGAATTTTGGAATTTATTTTTTATTTTTTGGACTGAGAAACAGAAGCACATATCTAGTGGTGATCCTTTTTAACGTGATGGCTCTGTATGGTGCATTTGCTGCTTTCCCTCAGGGATTCAGACTGGTCAAAATTCACATTTCTGAGACAAATTATCAACTATGAGAGGGTATTTGAATTGGAGAGAAGTGTGGGTAATCGTACATCACTATTCCTTCAAAGTGTAAATCTTTACTCAGCGTTGAAGAATGAAGTGCCTTTTCTATTACATTTGTCAGTATGGTTCTGCTGCCATACCGTTTTTCACACATCTTGTCTTTTTAATCTTTTTGATACCGAGTAATCACACATCTTGACACGTTATGAATGTGACAATAGATCCGGCTGGAAAAGCGTGTGACATATTGATTGAAATCTCACTGTATGTGAACACATTCACTCCTGTGATACTGTCGCGGAAGCTTCGAGGATGTGGAAGGGTACAAGCACTGTGAGGGAATCCTGTGACCTTCTGCATGAGAATACTGTGTTTTTTGTGAGTGTTTGTTTATGAATTTCTTCCAAAAGATTTATTTTTCAAAACTGTCTATTTTAGCAGTAGGTCATAGAATGATGTGAAGATAGTTTGCACTGCTTGATTAAACGCCAACAGGGTTAACACTGAACCGGAAACCACAGTATGTTGGTGTTTATTGGGCGGCATGGCTTTAGTTTGGACTGAACTGTTCACAGGGTCCTATCTGTTGCACTGTGTAGATGCTGTGTTTTTGTCATTTTTTCTATTTGCATTTATAAAGAGGTCTTTAATTGTTTCACTCGTCTGTGAAGTTTTTGTCAATTTATACACCCCCAAAAAATATTTACCTGTTGATGCAAGTTTCTTTATTTGGAAAAGGGTTTTAATAACAGTAAAATACCTGATTAAAAGAAATTAGAAATTTCTATTGTTCAGACACACAGGTTAGTCCCACCCCAATGCCATTAGTAAAGCAAGAAGTAGCTATGTGAGGCCGCTCAAACAGAGAAATGTTGAAAGCACCACACTGCACATTAAACTTGGCATATTCACTCTAATTCACCCTATCTATTTTGTACATATTTTTGATGTACATCACAATATGGAAAAAAACTTCTGTCGCTACTTCTGTTACAATGCGACTGGGACAGGATTAGTTGTTTAAAGGGATAGCTCACCCCAAAATTCTGTTATCATTTACTCACCCACCCTCATGTCATTCCAAACCCATAAGACTTTGGTTAATCTCTGAAACCGAAGTCCAGGTGAATGAATGAAGTAAAACATCTGAAAAAGTTGTAAAACAAATGCTTATGAATCAAGCAGTTTAATCCAGTCTTGTGAAGAGATATTGCTTTGTCTACACTTTTGGTTATTTTGATTTTCAACTGAGGGACAGAAACCTCTCAGGTTTCATTAAAAATATCTCAACTTGTGTTTTGAAGATAAACTAAAATCTTATGGGTTCAGATTCAGAATGACTCAAGGGCGAGTAAACGACAATAATTTTCATTTTTGAGTGCGCTGTCCCTTTAACATAAAAATACACAGATCACCCTTAACATCACATTTAGCTTGACAACATGATGCTTTGGAAGCTCTACAGTAAGAAATGTTCAACTGATGAAGGCAGCTCATGTAGAGAGTTGCCTAATCCAAACTCATGTCCTCATCATCTTTCTTGTCTCCTCCTTCGTTCGACTTCCCTTGACCTTCCATGGCCTTGGCAAATGCTTCCACATCTACAAAAAATTGAGAAAAACTTCAGCCATTCTATCCATTATAAGTATGACCTTTTCTTTCCTGAAGTCTCAGTTTTTTTATTACGCGATTTATGTAAATCTAACCAAAAACAATTGTCTAGATAGATATATTAGATTAGATCCAATTTTGCCCTTGTAAGGTCATTCTGTATAAACTACAGACTTAACAGAAGGATGTCTGGGAGAGAGAAATGTGCATATAAATGCATGTGAAAGTATAAACAAGGGTGTTTAGAAAGTGTTTCAGCTGGAATGAACCAGATTAGTTTGTGTACATTTGAAATATACTGACCTCCTTTATTGGCTGCCTCTACAGCTTCAGTAGGTAATCCAAACTGATTCATCAAAGGCCCCAACTGCCCCGATGCTAGCGCACTGCTGAACATACTCATAGCCTACACAACCCAGAAAGAGTGCTGATGAATATTAGAAGATTTATTCTAAAAAATAATCATGTCCAAGAGCAGATATGCTAACAAACTTGTTCTTGAAATTAGTTTACTAAGTGTAGACAAATTGGCGCTGCACTAAAATTTCATCAAACAAAAATATTCAATCTAAATAGTAAAAAAAAAAAGCTTTGGCCAAAATCATTGACTGAAACCATGACATTTAATTAGCACTTCTCTGACTTCTACGCACTTCTTCTGTGTTTTGACTCTGTCAGTGTCTATTTCATACACAAAATGTGGACTAGCTACAGGTATAAACATGTCAGCAGTGAGGACGCACTTCACCTGATCAAAAATGATGCTAGAGTAGCATTATGTAAATTGTTTTTGGATGACATATCAAAATGTGATTCATTGCTGAAGAATTTTTACTACAACAGGTTTATCACCTGAGAACAGGACACCCTGAACAACATAAACAGTTCAATTACCCAGTTAAGCAAATTTAATAACCCTTTATTTAACTTTATTTTCGTGTTTGATTTCAGACTAAATTAAAACTTTGGGTGTTTCAATAAAAAAAAATCAATTTCTATACATCACTATATGCAATAGTCAAACCTGCTGAAACTGCGGCGAGGTGAGAGTGTTTTGAAGTTCTTCTGTGCTTTGAGGGAGGGATTCTCCAGATGGGAGGTACGGCAGGAGCCTCTGCTGCACTTCTGCATTAGCGAGAATAGGGGCCATGACCTCAGGGGTCAAAACACTGGCAAGGTCCACTGACCAAAAGACAGTTGACATGTCAGCATGTAATCCTAGATTTTACTTACAGTGGTTTTATAGAACTAACATCATGATCTCACCTTGTCCTGCTGTAGGCACATTCATTGTTGCTAAGATGCTCTGCAGGTCACTCAGTTGGATGGGCTGAGATGGGCTGGTGGCTCCGGCAGAGAGAGCAGGGCCTGCAGGTGTGCTGGGGTCGGCTGCGGGTGAGGCTGCGACTGTTGCAGATGGGGTCATGGGTGTGGTTGGAACTTGGGAGGAGCCGAGCCGTGTGGGGGCTGAGGTGGATGATGGAGTGATGGCAGTGGACTGACTACGAGAGCTAAAGATGAAAGAATATTTCAATTGTCATTGCATTTAGTACAACCAGCCACATCCAAGCTTCTACCGGGTGTTACCTGGAAGATGAGCTGCTAGTAGCTGGAACTCCACTTCCCAGCAGGCTGGCTAGACCTGGTCCTGCCAGAGCCCCCAGACCGCCTGCAGACCAAATAAAAATTAATTATGTTACACTGATAACCTTGTAAAAATGCTATGCATGTTCGTCTGGGTTCATGTACTTTATATACGGAACTTATTTATTTTAGATGCAATTTGATCATCAGAAGATACAAGGGGTCAAGATTTTGCTAGTTAGGATGGGCCAGTTAGCCTCTGTTGTGTAGGGTATCAGACCGAATCAGACAATTTAAGATTTGATCAAGAACATAGTTGAAACACGAGGAGCCCATTTTAACCTCATTGAGGAGCTAAATTCAAGGGTTAATTAAGTGATTGATGGTTGTTCATGTTCAATTGCACATATTGCTGTAAACTTGGGATTTCACATTTTCATCCTCTTAAACTAATTATTTCCTCACTTTCTCTCTTTCTGCAACTTGTGTGAATGCGTGTGTTTATGTGTTAGATTAGTTTATATGTCTTAGATTTATCCAATAAAGCCTTATTTATATTGAAAAGAGAAGTATCTTGTGTTTTGTGCTTACAAGTTAATGTCTTAAACAAACGATCTTGTTACTATGCTTTAAAATCTTAAATGATTCCCTTTGAGCTAAATTGACCTGCTTCCCTTACAGTTGGTAGACAGAATAGCAGCAAATGCATTTTTGGTATAGTTGACATCCATTCAAAAGTAGTTGTGTATTCTGATGACAAAAATGTATTGGAGTCAACAGTGATGGACAGTGCTCTGACACATGGCATGCGCTTCTTTTTCACACATTGCTTCCTGTTAAGTCTCCTCTGTCCTATACAAAAAAGGCAAAAATGCAAAAAAAACAAAAAAAAAGACACAAAAAAAAGTCAAATGGCAGTCTTAATTTAGTATTATTTATATAGTATTTATTATCATTATAGTATTAATGGTATTTATTTATTAATGTTTTGAATTAGCTTTTATTTATTTTCAGTTTTCAATTTTAATTTTAGTTTAAAGTGCCCCTATCTTATCAATAATACATCCTATTATAATACTGATAGTGCTCCACTCTGTTCTAAAAATAAAGAATCAGAAGAGATCAAGTTGTTTTACACTTATGTTAGCGAACCGGACCCACAGCTTGGTATTAAAGACCTAAACAATAATGCCATATGCGTTAGCCGAACACAGACATAGAGTACTGATAAAGCACTGCAGTTTGTAAACCAACGTATTGCTCCATATAGACATTCTATATTAATCAACACATTTCTAGACAATAGCGGGCCCACAGCTGATTAGCAGAACTATAACGTGAGTTAGCCAGAGAGACCAACGGCTGCACTGACTGTATTCACAACACAACACACAAAACTACATATTTTGCACGCTGGACAGAACATTACAGCAACAATTATTAATCATACTTAATCATACTTTCAGGTTGTGATTCGGAGGAGCAAGCTGTCCAAACAAACTGGGCACTGACTCATCTTTTAAGGACATCCGGTTTACGAATCCCATAATGAACTCGCAGAGATTGCGGAAGTGAAATGACGGGAACACAGCAACACATTGGGATTATACTGTTGTGGTATTGTAGTAAAGATTAATTTTAACCACTGATTCTTCACAGCCTCATCCTTTGGAAGTGAAAATAAACCGAAATCACTTACACAGCGCAGAGCACAGCGTCTTCTCGACATTACTTTATCCACACGAACAAGCTACAGCGTTTGAGGTTTGTTTTTTGCGGGATGTCCACACAGAACGTAGGCGGGCATTATGCAAATGTATTAACTTGTGACATACGAACTTTGCGGAAATAGGACTCAAATTTACAATGACTCGTTTCAGCAGTTCAGAGTCAACTCTTTTGAGAGACAATAAATGTATTTATGATGCACTTACTACTTTGCATTTTTACATTCACATCAAGCTACATTACACACTGCATGAAAAGTAATTTTCAAAAATCCATAACGGGCACTTTAAATTTTAATAATTATATTGTGTGTTTTTGTTATTTTATTATTTTTGTCTGTTTTTAAAATATTTCTATTTATCTTTCATTTATTTTTATTTCAGATTTGAGTAATTTTAATACTTCAACAAACTTATTTCAGTTAGTTGCCAAGGCAACATTTCTGCATTCATTTGTTTAATATCTAATATTTCTAATAATATCTAATATTTATGTTTTTATTTTATTTTTATTTCAGCTTTATTTTAATTACCAAACACAATTTTAATAGCTTAATAATAGCTTTTGTTTACAATAACAACACGGTCATAGAGAGATCAGAAAATAAAGCAGCATAATAACTCACCTAGTCCTCCGAGTCCAGTTGGTCCTATGAGTTGCATCAGTTGGTTGTGACTCATATTACCAAGAAGACTCTGAAGGCCACCTTCACCTGGGGAATAATGTTAAAGTATCAGTGGTGAGACTCTTAAGAAAACAATTGCAAGACCTAATTTTCAACACAATAAATTATTTTCCTACCACTATGATCATTATTAAGGAAGGAATGAAAAACTCAAAGTGTGTGTGTGTGTGCCAAGTGTATTATAACAGAAAAAATACACACTTCAGCTTTAAGATGAGTGTTTAGGAAGGGTATCAGTGCATTGGACAAAAATACTTCAGAAATACCTCCAAGAGCAGACAGTTCATGGCTGCTGCTGCCTCCACTCCCCAGAGTACCAGGTATTGGTGGGTTGTTGAGGTATTCATTCACTTTCCTGCAGTACTCCTCATCTTTATCTGTCTTAGGCTCCTGAAAGGTCAAATAGGGATGATCGCAGAAGATGTATTTCAGTTAATATTTACAATACATTTTTAAAGGGCAATATCAGATGCCAGAAGGCTCTCAGCCTGGCCTACCTGCAACCAAAAGAAGAGTCTTTTGGAGCCAGCTTTAAATTTAAGCACAAAAACACGGCCCGTGGTGCACTGATTGACCTTCTTGAACTCACAGTCATCAGGGAAAATGATCAGGTCCTTGTAAAAGGAAAATTGAAATGAAAATTGAAATATTTTTAGGATCAGCATTACAAAGGAATTTTGAATATTCAAAGCTGTTTATATGAGCGTGTACTAACATCCTCCGCATTCCCCGTGGATCTGTCCTTCCAGCAGAAGTGGATGAGCGAATCGTCTGTCTGCTGAATGTACAAAAGTCCTTTGCGCTTATCCGGGGTCACGGTGCTGCCCTTCAGGGTCATTTTTCCTGCACGGAACTCCACCAAGTATTTGCTTGATAAGCCCCGGGATCCGGACACCAAGCTAGGGAACAAAGCTCCCGACGACATCTGTCGCAACAAAGAAAGTACAGGTAAGTTTGTCCCAGGGAGGGAAATTAAAATTTTTGAGCAGCTATATAATGTATAGAAGTAAAAAATATATATATTTAAAATATATTAAATTATAATACTGTACTTTTTTTATTATTTGGCTATTTGTGCTGTATAAACAAAACTATAACAAATGTAAACTATAAAACAGTAGTTTCACAATTTCTTGTAAGGGATCAATTCTGTGTTTATATAGCTACTAACATCCCTCACATTTCAAGTGGAGTATATATAGGCCTGTATAGTTATTATTTACTAACGTTACGTCTTCAAAGTTACAATTACTGTTATTCAGGTAAATTACCAATAATAATATATTATGAAATCTTTCACAGTCTAATAATCATTCAAGTGTTTTTTTTTTTTTAGTAACGGCTAATACACACAAATCCCGATAAATCATGGAGAGAAATTGATAACAATTAACCAAATACTTTAGTCACAATACTGTCAAGCACAAATGATTAGCATCCTTATCTTAGAGCATCACTGTCCGAGATGCATCAGTCTGTTGCCTATTTCAATGCAGTAAATGTACAGGAAAGTGATAATATACGACCATATATCACATTATCATTAAAGTGAAGTGAGAATAAAATTAGTTAGTAACTAATCTATGATTATATGAGCAACTGATCCGCAGCTAAACCCGAAGCTAACACTACGAGTACTGAGGAAACCATTTAAAACAAAAAAGGTCCATGCTTTAAAACACTGGCTTCTACATTACACATCTATAAATGCAGTACTGACGAATGTGTGTGGTGATTGTGGTATATGACAAACATAAAACTTACATTTCTCTCTCTTTCTAGTCAAATTCTAAGAATTCTTTCACTTTTCTGATGTCGAGTCGACCAACCTCTAGTCCTCTACTAGCAGAAGGGGCGGGGCTTACGTTCGATTGGTGGAGGTTTCTTCATCCTTTGCTCTGATTGGTGGTTGCACATGTCGATATGACAACACAAATAACGCTGTTATGAGTTTGTCAAAGACAGACTGGAGTGATAAGTGTAACCTTTTAGAGGTGTTAAATTACATTTTCACCACTGTTAAAACATTTTAGATCGACTTACTTGACTTTGCTAGGCAAATATGTTACTTGTCTAGCTTGTTCTGTCTTGCATGAACAATTCAATAATTCAGTGCTGAATCATTGTTCTCTTAGGTTTCAAACAAGTCTTGTTTTTTTGTAGTTATGACTACTGAACTGAGAAGAAATCCATAGCAGCTATTATCCAATTGTTTGTCACCTTCTTTACTATTATATGCCTTTGTATTGAGTGTAAAGACAACCCGTCCATGTAACAGTCTAAATGAATGTCCTTTGATCACTATTTGTCTGACCTTGGAGCAATATAGCCCTTTAAAAAGGTTTATTTCTTGAGCATTAGCAATTCTTTGTCAAATAAATCATTAAATCATCTTATAATTCTACTCCTAAACCAGAACCAGCTTGGTCAATAAAGACATAGAAAGCATGTTTTTTTTTTTCTGTTATGAGTTTAATTAGATCCTCTTTATCCATGACATTGACTTTGATAAAGATCAGTTCACATTTTATTTCACAAACGTTCCCACCATCAAACACATGCCTGAAGCTGAAGCTTCTCCCAAATGTTTTGTCAGAAATCTCGAACTGATGCTTGTCAATTCCCTTCAGACACAAAAGAGCAAACTGAAGTTTCTTAGTGAGGTCTCACATATATCATTAATATCGCAAGTTTACAAATTAGCAGATTCATAAGACAGTTTAAGTGCATTTCACGTGATCTATACAAATATAGTATAAAGTCACAGTACTTCATGTACAATTATGTAAAGCCGTCATAGCACCACAGAGGTATAATTTGGGCTTCTATCTGTGAAATAGTGAGTTTCACAACAGAAACAATTAATCCTTAGTGTCACGACCAATATCAACAGCTTAATAATAACACAGACAGAATGACTTGAAAATTCTGAGTGTATGATTGCTTTACATAGTTGCAATCAATGTGACCAGGTTTACTTGTATATTAACTTGATGTGATTGCTATAGGAATAGCTGATAAGCACAGCACAAAATAATGAGACAATTTGGATAAGTCATTTTTTAATGTCTCATGATTTCAAGGGCTTTAAAAGACATTACGTTAGCAGCTGGTGGAATAATATACTGATATTTCTAACTGCTAGTAAGCATTGATAGTGAGATTAAATAATGTATGTTTAGACATGCCACAATATAGTGTATAAAATACAGAGGGAAATAAATTGTAGTTAATTCTTTGTCATGGCCCGAAGCTTGGCTTTTGGAACTGTACGCACTACATGAAACATATTAAAGACAAATATTCTTGTGCTACACAACAGATGATGAACTCCCATTAAGTGTGAATGATAAACATTTCTAATAATTAGATAACAGTGTTATTAATCACTGCAGCTACATATACCTGTGTCTCCACCTAACCAACTTTAGGCTGTGCAAAACAGCCAGTAATAATGTGTAAAACCATCAGCAAAAGTACTAGCATGCTTGACACCTTTGCGCTAGGCCAACCAAAGTATTTTACATAAACAGTGGAGCTTATTGACACATTAAATTGTACAATTCATAGACAGACATTCCCATCAATGTTTGCATAGCTTCTGAGATTTGTGAGTGTTAAAATCACAGTATTGTTTAAAGTTTCGAAATAAAAGACAGTGATGTCTTTCATGATCCTCTGAGGTCATCACGTCTATGATTTGTATGTCTGGAAAAAAAAATTAGTCCTTGCAGAATGAAATTTGCTGTATGGCAAAAAGCACGTGAATTTATGTGGGCTAAGGTGAAGCACCTTGACATTCGTGAGCCATTAAGTGCTGAAATAAAAGAAAGATTAGCACCCACCTCCATTTCATTTGTATCACTCAACACTGCAGTCCTGACGAGTTATTTGGCTTTAATTTCTACAAGAGCAGTCACTTTGGCAACCATAAACACTCAAAACATCAATGCTAGGATGTAATAGGATTTTTGTTATAAGAGCTTTTTAACAATAAAAAAAACTCCACGTGTGAGGAATGAGAATACTAGTTTTAGAAAACTCCCCTGTCCAACGGAGATGGTGAAAAATGGCCCAAGAGCCATATCAGTGAGACATAACAATAATTTCTGAACTAAGGTGGGATAATTCGAAAAAAAATTTAAATAAACTCCTTTTCATTCTCAGGTACTCAAAATCAGGCAGAATCTTTAACTGTGAAGTTCCTGCACATCATACATACCACAAACAGAGGTCATATTTCTGAGATAAGGAAAAAAGCAAATAATAGAGATGATAAAATAGCATTAGTTTGAACAAAAACACAAAATTATGCTCTCCTAATAGGTTCTGAGCAGCCTCACATTTCAACAATGACAAAAAAAATAAAAAAATCACAGATGGCATCGCAGTGATGCCATCACTAACCACTTGTACCCATAAACTGAACACCTGAGTGTAACTAGCGAGACGCATGGAAAGGTAGGTTAGCACATACTGTACATAAACTAGCCATTTCTAAACATACTGAGGTTTGCACAGAATGTTTAACTTATAACCTAACATACATGAAAAAGAAAACAGTGAATGATTAAGGCATTCCCTACCTCTCAAAATAAATAAATCCATTCACACTAAATTTTCAGATTCTAGTAAAGAGTGGAACTCGTGGAGAGGCTTTGTCCAAAAACTGTTCACATGAATCTCACATTCCGATGAACAAAATGAAAAGAGTTTAAGGAGAGGAGATGATATGGATTGGGTGAAGCAAAGGATGAATCACAAGACTCTTTCAGTCTTCCCAACCGAATCAGTAGATGTCTGGAAGGTCAGAGTACCTCCTGTCAAAGTAACCTCCCTTGTAGATCCAGTCTGCAGCTCCAGTGTACCGATTATTGCCTTGCTGGAACCATCTGAAAGATGGGAGGCCAAAAAGTTTATAAAAATAAAAAGGCTTTTCAAAATCTCTACAGAAAAACAAATTTTTTTTCACTAATATATTAACCTTTCAAGACGGACATATCAAAAGGTTTTAAATGATGGTATCTGCTTCAGTAGAAACCACTGGCTGGATTCATTTAAATTGTTTAATTCCTGTGGTTGGTCCATTTGTGTTTTACTGCCATGCCAGCTTCCTTGACTATTTTCATGGCAAATAAAGATGAAATAGTATAATTTAATATACTATACAAATTTGATTTAGATAACTCTAAAACTCGTAAAATAAATAAATAAATAAACAAACTCTAAAATGGATTCAGGGTTGACTGTTAATTATTCCCAAAGAAAACTTAAACCAGCACAAATAAAATATGTTTAAAATATACAGGACACTGTCTGTCTTCATTTGATATAATATTAATGAGCAGCTTTAATTTTTGTCTGTCAAACACAAGCGGCAACCTTCCGGTCTCTCTCTCTTGAAACCAACACGGAAGTGACTAAAACTGCAATTCATCGACTGGCCGCTAGAGGCTGGCTCCAAAAGGGAGTCAGTCCCATAGACCTGCCATGTTAAAATGCCCAACTTTACAGCAGAGAAAAATATGGTTACAGCTTGGTACAAAAAGTGGTTTTGGTCTATATAGCTAATTTTGCCCTTCATGACAACTGTGAGGGGGGTGAATATTTTTATAACTCATCCGTTTAAATTATATTAAGCCTTAAAGTTCTGCATAATTAAGGGCGTGGCCACTTGAGTGACAGGTGGATTGCCACTACTGTCACCACCGTCGAGCTAGGTAAGCGTGGTTTCAGCAACCAGCTCCCGCCTCTTTGCCCATTTTCGATTATCCGGGAGTGACGCGCTGCCAAGATGGCGATGGCCGGCTCCGCCCACTTTGAGCTTCAAAAACGCTCTTCAGAAACCTACTGGTGACGTCACGGACACTACGTCCATGTTTTTATACGGTCTATGGTCGAAAAAAATCAAAACAGATCTAAAATATTTCTAAACGTTGTTCATAAAATGTCGTGGAGTTGGAAATGTGTTGATAGAAGTTTTTTTTTTTCTCCCCCACTTTGGAGATTTTTCGTTCTTGTTCTCTTTGTTACATGGACATTTATATGTAAATGTATATAATTAAAATGCAATAAAAATATTTAAAAAATAAAATAAAGTATTTCTAAATGTGAAAGGAATGAGAATATACAAAATGAGGAACGCAGGCCAGTAAAAAAGTGGAAGGTTGTGCTCTTAATTCAAATACTCGCCTCGTAGACCATTCTTCCTCGTCTTTAGCACGCTCTCTTCTGGCAACTCTCTGCTTCTCTTCCAATCTCTCCTTCTCTTGACTTGCAGTATCTGGAATTTAAGAATAGCTTTTGAATTTAGGGGTAAAATAAGTGCAGCATCATCCAGAAGACAGCTTACTGGACAGATGGTAACAGAACGGGCCAAAAGAGAGATTGTGCATACCGATATCCCCATTCTCCATAGCTCTGATGTCAGGACGCAAACGACAGTCTGTTGGTGCTATGACTCCAATCATGCCAGGCTCCAGCTCATTAAGCGTCATGGCAAAGTTAGTAAAGTTATACATCTAAACAGAATCGAGAAAAAAAAAAAAGTAAAGTGAGAATATGCATAACATGTAATCACCCAAGACAGATGTTGGAGTCATTGGGGGCTTGGGGTTACCTGTGTCGAGTGTGGCGGTCGAGGGGCTACTCTCCATAGCAGCGTACTGCCTGGGATCATAGTAACTGTTTCCTGGACATCTGGCATTTCATCTGCATCATCACCCCCTGTACTCTGCTCCTAATCACATGCATACAGTACTACCATTTATGCCTCACATTCATATGAAAACCATTAAACACTACAGATAAAGTTTAATGGTTGCAAATAAAGCAAGATCAGAAAGCAAATAGACTAAGAAAACTAATTGAACTAATACTCTACTATGATGGTGGCTCAGGGACTGTAGCTACACTGCTAAAAACCAACTGTCTTTACCCTCACTTCTCATTGAAATTGCATGTTAATACAAAGAAGGGAAACAAAAATTGATTTCCAGCAAACACACTGCAGATAATTTTAATTAAATTTTATTTTTCAATTACACTATCATTCAAAAGTTTGGGGTCAGTACTTTTTTTTTTTTTTTTGCAATAAATTGATCAAAGATGACAGTAAAGACATTTATAATGTTACAAAAGATTTCTAATAATGCTATTCCTTTCACCTTTCCATTCGTCGAAGAATCCTGAAAACAATGTATAACAGTTTCCACAAAGATAACTGTTTACAACATTGATAATAATAATAATAAATGTTTTCTGAGCACCGAATCAGCATATTAGAATGATTTCTGGAGGATCATGTGACACTGAAGACTGGAGTTATGACTGCTGAAAATCCAGCTTTGCCATCACAAGAATAAATAAAACTTTAAAACAGACTCAAATAGAAAAGTTGCATTAAATTTTAACAATATTTCACATAATTACTGTTTTTATTGTATTTTTGGTCAAATAAATGCAGGTGAGTATAAGAGACCTCTTTCAAAATCATTCAAAAATCCTAGACACTAAACATTTGAAGAGAAGCCGATAATTAATTTGTATTCTATTGAAATAAATAAATAAAAAAATATATCACAAAACAAATCTGAACGAGGAGTCGGTTTGTGTAGTCACATTAAAACGCAATGGAACGCAATATTACACAATGGAAAGAATTTGCTCTAGTTGACATTTCTTCTATACTTCAGTAAAGATCTTGAGACTTTTTCAGTTGGCATAGTTCTCACTTCTAAGAGTTTGCAAACGGTCTCTATTGTAATAAGTGGTGGAGCCTCTATTTGAGGATGCGTGAGAGCCCTTTTGGACTTCCATGTGAAAACACAACAGAAAATATATCACGGCTCTGCAGTAAGAGATAAATGACTAACGCTTTTTACCTGCTTGTGCTTCTTGGAATCTCCTCCGCTTTTCTTCTCTGCTTTCTTGTTGACTTCATAGACTTTTGGTTCAATGCTATATACACACTCAGTCCACTTCCCATAGATAACCTGATGCTTCTTTTTACTGAAATACACCCAGACAAAATGAGTCATGAACACAAGCATCAAATCCAGTAAAGTAAAAGTACAGACACAATCCAGCTGTAAAAGACACTGCTAATGCCTTTAGTGCTCCAGACACGGAGTGGATGTGCAGAGTGAACTCTACAGGCTGGGAGTCAGATATACCCACTGACATTTGATACGAATGACTGCTCACCTCTTGTCCTGGATATGTCCCTCTACCCTATGCAGCTCTTTGCCAAACATGCCGCATGGCTTAAAATTCAGCACACACTTGTCCCCAGTGCTAAAATGAACAGAGAGAGTTCTCAGTCAAAAATAAGGGAATGAGTGAACATTAATCCACAATGTGACATGGAAAGATCACACTATAGCCTTTACAAAAACAATATTTAAATGCTGAAAAAGGTTGAAAACGCAGGCAGAATATTTAGTGTCAGAAAGGAAAGAGATGAAATACCTGTGGTTGACAATCTCCACTGTCCCATACTGCTCAATCCACAGTTTACCTAGAATAACGTTATGCACACAGCACATAGGGTTCGTCCATGTGTAAGCTTCTCTGTGCCTGAGAGAGAGAGAGAGAGAGAGAGAGAAGAATTAAAAAATAGCTCAGCCATAACTAATGCCCAAAATCTCTTCAATACACATACGAAAAATGCTAAATAATAAATGGACATTCCAGTATGTTACTTATCTAGCAGATGATGCTTTCCAAAGCAAGTTACATTATACTAAGGGCCAGGAAAAGTTACTGCCTTGCTCAAGGGTCCGATTGTACTTGAGGATCTCAATGACTCTCCAGCTCCAATAAAAAGTGATCATATTATACTTAGTGAAGTCACATAAATAAAACTCACTTGGAGAGCTCAAGTGTCATGGTGCCTTTAGGCTCTGCCTCCACACTCTTCCCCCATAATTTTAGTTTAGGGTAGATGGAGCCGTGAAACGAGAAGTCCTGATTGAGTGACTCTGAGTAGAAGGCGCTGATTGGTGGATGGTGGCTCACTTGTTCTGAGATCATGTGGTAACCCTCTTCATCCCTGAGCACAGATATTACAAATTATTGGTGCAGGCTAATTTGGATTTACATATTCAGCTTTGTAGTAGATGATGTATAGCGTTTGTGTCCAAATGTTCTTTAGATTTACCGTGTGAGTTCAAAAGTCTCTCCTAATAAAGGGTTAAAAGGTTTTCCAGTTCTGTCCCATTGCGATGCAACAGCAGAAACGGCGAATGCGGCAACAAGCTGACAAATGAGATGCAATTGCGTAATAAGGATTTGTTGAATCTTCCATGCATGCACACATGTGAAAGTAAAATATAAAGGAGGCAAGGTTTCTGCAGGTTTTATGAAGGTAAATTTATGACTTTTTCAAGACCAATTAAATATGTTTTTAATTAATTTTGCATAAAAATTGTCTTAACTAGAAATAATGCAAATAACTTTTACTGTACCTTCTGATCACACTGCAAAAAAGTGATGTTCTTCCTCAGTATTTCTGTCGTTTTCCAGTGCAAAAGATCACAATAGATGCATTGTGAAGCAAAATGACAAGATAAGATGCCTTGTTTTCTGAGAAATCGATCAAAATGAAGTTTAACACAAAAACAAATATCTGCAAATGAACTTAATTTAAAGGGAAAACAAGTTGTCATAACCCATGGAAATATATTTGTTCTTGTTTTAAGCATTAACTCGATTAATTTTGTTCTCAGAAAACCTCATACCTTCATTTTGCATTTCAAATAAATGTATCTTGATTTAAGGGTGTTAAGATATTTGTATTGGAAAACAAGACAAAAATACTGAGGAAAATATAATTTTTTTTGCGATGTATAAAACATTTAACACCATGACTTTATTTATTTAGGACTAATTTGTGGAAGGGCCAATTAAGACTTTTTAAGACCTGCAGAAATCCTGGAGGCACTAACCTGCATACGCTCTATAGAGTCAGAAAGTGTACAAGCTTTATGGATGAGGTATGTATGTTCCATGTACTCTGTAATCCTCTGCAAGAAGCTCAGCGGTTCGTTGAAAACAATAGGCATTGTTATCTTGGACAGCTCCTGCAAAGAGACAGTATTCCCAGATAGAAATGGCTTGGCATGTGGACAATGACACCACAATCTAAACAACATGTCTCTTTTACAATTTCATATTTCATGCTGTGTTTGAATGGAGCTCTTTTTTTACTAAGCTGTTGTTTGGTCAAAGTAGCTAGTGCTCACCATTCCAATGCATTTCTTCAGGAAGCCCCATACACTAAAGTCATTTCTGGAGAACATGGGCGCTGGCAGAGTAGTTCTGAACACACAGACACACACATTAAAACATTACACAGTCCAAAGGATATAAACATCTTCACATTTTGTTTCCTGCCTCTGAATATTATTTCACTTTATTCAGACTCCTTACCGCCTCTCCCATACTCCATTTTCAGACGGCACTTTGCCATTCACTGTCTGCTTGCTCTCATAGACACAGGCATCTTTAAAGCTGACTTCACATGAGTCGTCTGATTCTAAACCTGAGACAAAAGAGAGATTTAGCCATAGGTGACAATAAAAATGTGATGTACAGTACTATACTTCATCACGTACCTGTCTCAGCATCATAGAACTCTTCCTCGCTGTTCATGATGGACAGTTACTGCTGTTGATGTCAATCAGAAGGCATTGTTTCACAGTTTGAATGTGTTCTGTTGATCAAACCAGAGAACAATATTGTAGGTTTGAAAATTAAAAACATATAAAACTGGAAGTCATTAGTCCAACTTATAAAAATGAATCATTAACGTACTGTAGACTACTACTATGCCGTAAACCTGGAACAGACTGGACACTAATGCTGGCCTATGCTCTCTGTCCATTCTCTTATTGAACACACAGAACAAATCCAATCACCTCACTGCAGTCTTTAAACAGCTGTGCTTGGCAAAACCATCTGATGAGTGTGTCCGAACAAGCTAATTCTTTAATGGCCAATGGCAGCTCATAGCAGAGAGAGAATGTGTCAGCATCCGGTTGTCATTACTGCAACTGATTGTACTGATTCACAATGTTGGCTTAATTAAAGGGGTCATATGACGTTGCTAAAAAGAACATTATTTTGTGTATTTGGTGCCTAGAGTGAGCGGAGGGCGCCTTGAGTGAGGGGCAGCGGGCGGGCTTGAGTGAGCGGAGGCGGCGGGCTTGAGAACGGTGCGGCCGGTGGATTCGACGAAGGAGTGTCCGGCGGGCTTGCGGCAACCACATGTGACGACCCCG